GGGCTTAAAGCCCGCTGCAGACGATGCTATTTTTCCTGCTGGATTGCTTGCAATTTAGTAAATTACTAGGAATCCTGAGTGCTGATGGTGCAATGATAGTAATTTACTAAATCGCAAGCAATCCAGCAGGAAAAATAGCATCGTCTGCAGCGGGCTTAATAAATTACTATCGTTGCACCATTCAGCACTCAGGATTCCTAGTAATTTCGTAAATCGCAAGCAATCCAGCAGGAAAAATAGCATCGTCTGCAGCGGGTTTAAATTACTAGGAATCCTGAATGCTGAGTGGTGCAATGATATGGCAAATCCACCATGAGCGGCGCTGATGGCGGCAATTTTAATTCGGCATGCCCTTTCTACACCTGCTACATCTGATGCAGAATTCACGCTGGATCCGATATATCCGACACATACGACGTCCGATATCAAAAGCCCGCTGCAGACGATGCTATTTTTCCTGCTGGATTGCTTGCAATTTACTAAATTGCAAGCAATCCAGCAGGAAAAATAGCATCGTTTGCAGCGGGCTTTATATGTATTATGATCGGTTTATACTTTTAAGGGCATTCTACAATGAGTTGCAAACGTCTTGTTGCCGGTTGAAAAGGATGGCAACTGCTAGTTACAAAGTACGATTTCCGGTTGCTAGTGGCAGTTGCGGTTGCTATACGAGAGTTGCTTTAGATCCAAAAGAAACCAAAAGAAAAAACCGTTCGTATTAGATATTGGACGTCTATGACTATGTTTACACGGCACCTTAATCGGGTTTATAACATCCGTAGTTAAGGGGCTGGCCAATCACAGTCATTCCATTCTTCTGAAGAATAGTTGTGATTGGTCAGTTTTATAACTACAGATGTTATTAAACCCGATTAAGGGTGACGTGTAAACGTAATCTATGGCCTAGTTTACATCGTGCACTTGATACGATACATACATATGTCTCAATCATGTAATATTTATAATTATATCTTCGTGGTCTCGATTAAAAAACTCACGATTAAAAAATTGAAAATATCAAATACCAATATCTTTTTCATTAGACTTCTGACCTATGTGTTTTAAGTATGAAAATGTCCCGCTATGCGGTCCGCAACTTATCCTGGTATTATTTTGTGCGACTAATAAAAATTAGTCGGAAATGAACCACATAGCACGGACACGAACCACGTACCGTCAGCCGTTACCGGGCAGAACGGACGTAGTTGACGTCCATTTTCTCAGGGGGCGCGTTTGTCTCTCAAGTTGGCGGCTGCTCTCAGACAGATGATCGGCGCTGCCGTCGCCAAATTGTCACCGCTGCAGGCGCTGCAGCACGCGCTAGGCCCGTCAGGCGAAGCCGTTGGAGCCGTCTGTTTGATTCTCCGGTAAATGTAATCGTTGTTGTGTACGAGTCTCTCGGCATCGCGATGGGGATACTGGAGAAGATCTCGGAAATCGAGAAGGAGATCGCGCGCACGCAGAAGAACAAAGGTGAGCGTCGGACCGACCTCGTCACGTTGCTCTCCCCCTTAACCTGTTCGTCCGCATCTTCCTCCGCGCTTCTTCCGCGCTCCGTGTCCCGATGTCGCGGCCGAGCGAAGAAGACGCGGCGCGGAGAGGTGAGAGATTTAAACGCGTTCGCAACAACCGCACTCGTAATTTGATTGCAGCCACCGAGTACCATCTGGGCTTGCTGAAAGCGAAGCTCGCCAAGTACAGGTCCCAGCTCCTGGAGCCGTCGAAAAAGTCCGAGAAGGGCGAAGGTTTCGACGTGCTCAAGTCGGGCGACGCCAGGGTCGCGTTAATCGGCTTCCCGTCGGTCGGCAAGTCCACCCTGCTCAGCACTTTGACCGCCACTCAGTCAGAGGCTGCGTCCTACGAATTTACCACCTTGACGTGTATCCCCGGTGTTATCGAGTACAAGGGCGCCAATATACAGTTGTTGGACCTGCCCGGTATAATCGAGGGAGCGGCGCAGGTAAACGCGCTAAGCAGGCTGGGAATTGTCCTCCGCATAGTCGCCGCGTTGACTGAGTATTCTGAATTATTTCAGGGAAAAGGACGAGGCAGGCAAGTCATATCTGTCGCGCGAACGGCGGATTTGGTGCTTATGATGTTGGATGCGACCAAGCAGGATGTTCAACGGCAGCTCTTGGAGAAGGAATTGGAATCCGTCGGGATAAGACTCAACAAGAAAAAGCCCAATATATATTTTAAAGTGAAGAAGGGCGGCGGCTTAGCCTTTAACTCGACGTGTCCTTTGACGAAAGTAGATGAGAAACTAGTTCAAATGATTCTGCACGAGTATAAAATCTTCAATGCCGAGGTGCTGTTCCGCGAGGACTACAGCGCGGACGAATTGATCGATGTTATCAATGCAAACCGAGTATACTTGCCCTGCCTTTATGTATATAATAAGATAGATCAAATATCGATAGAAGAGGTCGATCGAATCGCTAGGCAACCCAATAGCGTCGTAGTTAGGTGAGCTACAAAACGCCCGAAAATACTCGGGTTTCCGCGGGCGCGATTCTCCCGCGTGCCCTTTGCTATTCATAACTTGTACTTTCCGCAGTTGTAACATGAAGTTAAATCTTGACTTTCTGCTGGAAATACTGTGGGAATACTTGAGCTTGATAAGAGTGTACACAAAAAAGCCCGGACAACCGCCTGATTTTGACGACGGTTTAATATTGAGGAAAGGGGTGACGGTGGAGCACGTGTGTCACGCAATTCACCGTACTCTTGCCCAGCAATTCAAATACGCCCTTGTGTGGGTAAGTTGACAAGTATAATTATGTGCACAATTATAATAGAGAATAATCCTCTATTACGAAGCAGGCTCCTAATATGAGACGCAGGGTTTCTGTTAAATTAATAGGCCTCGTTTGTTGAGTCCACCATGAATTTACTGCCTTTGGGGCGAAATCCGTTTAGTGGAAAGTTCATTGTCAGATCGTGTGATCGTGGTGAAAAGAGATTTGCGAGTGAGTTCGGGTGTTGAAAACCTGCTATCTTGTATTAGAAACCTATCTCGTAATAGAGGACCTTCCTCTACCACTAAGAATGTGGGTAATTTAGTTTTTAAATGCAGACGTGTAAATTATGTTTTATCTCTTCAGGGTACAAGCACCAAATATTCGCCTCAGCGGGTAGGAGTACAACATATAATGCATGATGAGGACGTCGTACAAATAATGAAAAAGTGAATTCCAACAAAATCTATAAATCCGTTCGTAAGAAAATGTGAATAGCAATATAGGCCTTATTTAGCCTTTTATGTACAACAAGAGCGCGAGCGAGCTGCTACACCGACGAACTGTGAAATTCAACGGTTTTAGGATAAATGTATTTGAAGTACCTATTTTAAGAAGCTTGTGGTTTGCAGACCTTGTTCCAATAAAATTTGTAAGAACAAATGTAACTCATGTTAATTACTTATTTAAGTATGAGGGAAATATATGGATTTATTATTTATTATACAGGGGATAATCCTTAATTAGAGTAATACGTAAACAAAGAAAGGGCATATTTTATCTCGTCTAGAAAGAAACTTTTTCAGGAAGAGCTTTCCTCTCGGCTTGCGGAAAAAGGGAGAGGAAGGAACGTATCAATTTCATTACGGAGGAACGAATCTCTGAGGATGAATCTATCATATCGTGACACTTTACGTGTACGGTGTGGGATGCATTGTATAATAATTGGCATTGCGTAATCGGGCTGGGCGCGGAAATCGATTGGAGTGCCGATACGATTTTTCCGATCGAGGAATTCGGGGACACCGATTCGATTCGAGCGCGCGGTTCTCCCCGTTTGCGATCCTCCGCGCGCGAATCAATGAATAATGAATGGCGTTCCCGCGGCACGACAACACTGCGAAGAATGCGCGTGCGAATCGTACCATCGCTCTGTTCCTCTTTATTTTATAGTATCCTCTTTCTCTTCTCACACTCTTTCACTTGCTTCACTCCCCCGTTCACCGCCCCCTCCTCGCGGGCGTGCGTATACGAAAATGCGTTCGCCACTCGAGCGAGACACACATCCTGATTACTAATTCACGTAGCCGCGGACTACTTCCCTGCCTCGTTGTGACACCAAATCCCATATTCCAGCCAGAATGGAGAGTCGGCGAGCCCGAGAGCTCGATGATCCACGCGAGCGAGCCACGCGATTCGCACCGGATCTTAACGCTGCTTGTTCGCGCGCCCGCTACTATCTGGGAAATATCTCTTAGCGGCGGATTCCGTGCCAGATGATTCAGATGCGCTTTCGCCTTGGCAAAAATTTGACAATGGGCACAAGAATTTCATCGTCATCTCACATATACATAATCAAATGAGAATCCGATCTCTTTCCACGATCTTTTTCATTTCGAATGCTCCCTAGTAGCACAATATATTGGCGCAACATTGGGAAATAATGTAAATCTGGTATTTCCAATACTGGTCCAATATCGTAAGATGGACGCCTTCTCCTATTTGGCCAATATATCTATTTAGCAATATTGGTTTAATATTATATCGATATTGGACTAATATTCTTATTACATTGTTAAATATTGGGCCAATGCACTTCCAATATGAATCTAATATTATATAATTATTCTCGTGCAATATTTACATTTATTCCGTGGCCAATATTGGCTTTACGTTGAACAATATCGGCCAATTCTAATATAACCAACGTTGGACCAACGTTTAGCCAATGCACTGCGCTACTAGGGCTCACCAATACATACTTTTAAATTTATTGTTGATCGGAGAACCTTTCTCCTCTCGATATCGGTGCACGACAATAAGTCTCTCAGTGAATTTGTTCTTATTTCTATCATCAAACTTTTACCTCGGAGGTAACTACCTCCAAAAAACAAAAAGTATCCAGACTTGGATGTACTTCAAATCTTAATTGCACAGATGTCAAAGTGGCCCAGCGCGAAATGTCCCGCGAACGATGTCGAATCGATGTCAATTTGACAATGTCGATTCGACATCGTTTCGACGAATAATTTCTCACTGGGGAGATGCTAAATGGAACGATAAAATGTACGCGATAAGAACATTTTTATCGAAACGTTTGTTTCGTGTACAGAGTAGTTAATATATAAACGCGATGATGCGCGATAATTTTTTTGAGATCGTTCAAGTGTCAGAAGTAGATAATGTAGATGCGTACGAACACTTGGGACAATTGCAGTATTGAGTATTAGTTACGATGACAGAATCCTGAAATTGATCTGTGATGCAATTGCAATCGATGTGCGATACTATCACGATTAATCCGATTGTGAGTTAATGGGACGTCATTGTTCATTTCGCAGATCCACGTTACTCGAGTGCAATCGCGCTCCGTTATGACTTTTATAGATTCTCATCATTTATCGTAACGACAATAGAAGTGGGATATTCGGTATTAATCGAACATCGAACGAGGAATCGAATGAAGGACGGAGGTGATTTTTCTGTATACGCTTTGATAAAATTCTTCCTTTTCTTTTGCCGATCGAAATGTTTCCAATCGGCGAGTGAAATATAGTACAATAAACACTTTGAGAAGGCGATAAACACTTAGACCGTGCGTATCGGATCTACGAAGATCATTGGGAGTAGTCTCGAAGCGTGAAATCGTCCGGCGTTCCACAAACGGGAATGTGTCGCATAAAAATCCAGCGTCGTCGCTTCGGGCATTAGACGAGGCGGATGCTGGCGGTATATGATCGATCCATCAGTAGCTACTACTATGCCATCCACAGGAAGAAGTTGCCCGGTATTTACAGTTAGACGATCGACCGGCCTGATGACGATCGAGCGCGTTGCTTTCGCTCCTCGTTCTCGAGGCGAACGTTTCATTTCTGTGATTCTCGTTTTAGTCCTTAACGCTAGTCAGAACTAAGTCTTGACAACATGATTGAAGAGGTTCATTATTGTCCGATTAAAAACACAACGTTGGAGATTGATTCAGCGTCATTCCCGTACTCGAGATTTACTCGCCGGGCTTGTAAAAGATATTGATGAAAGTATCAAACGAGAATTTTTGATAGTAAATACAGAGCAATGGAAACTGCAGATAGCGAGACACTTTATATTGAACCTGACACTGTTAGAATCAAATGTCTGGCTTAATACGCGCATGATCTTTTCAAGATTTGAATTGTATTTTTCATGTTTTATGTAATGTAGCTCAAGTTAAAGAGAATTTCTTTCAATTGTAACAATTCAATGTTACTAGTGCAATATTTTCGGAATTATAAGTGTAACTTGTATTTCATGATGAAATACAATTTGTCTATTCGCGTATTTTCTTATTTTCTAAAATTGGAATTATTTAGGTCGTACAAATATGCTCATTTAAGACTTCGGCTGTAAAACGGATCAGGGAAGAGAAGAGCGAGCCTGCACTCTCGCTCTCTGTTCCATATCGTCGCACGGAGTCATCAGTTTATGCGAATTTTGCCTTATTAATTGGAAAATGTCATTTTCACCTGAAATATCAAACAAAAGCTATATTAGAATAAATGAGCACGTAGAATAAAGAGAGGTAACTAGACGAGAGGATAAGTAGCTGTAAATCTGAATAAAACTAAATATAAAAGCTGCCGTAGCTGGTAGCATTACAATCATGTGACTAATAATTTTTACACAGATCATCGTCATTGTCAATCATTATCACGATTATTTTGCAGAGGCTAAATTTTAACGCCTTTAGCAAAGCTCTTTAAGTTAATTATCTCTTTTATTTTCGTGACTAGTCGCCACAGCAATCATCTTGCCAGATTGTTAACTCGACATTGAACGTAAGAAAGTCCTTCTCAATAAATATGTCCGACACGCAAGATACGATTGTTCAATTAATCAGTGTAATCATTTTATATCTGGGATCGTTCGCATTAAGCAGCACCAATCTTCCATATGCGTAGCAACTGCCGCTAATTAACCGCTTCAAGATCGAACGAAACATCCCGGCAATGTCGATCCGGGTAATGCATTATTTATCACGAAAGTAGCACGTTAAATGAGCAACGTCATCAAACGAAGTATTAAAACGTTTCGCCAGAAGGAGCGAGAGTGACAATGATCTTAATAATGCGCGCTTGATTTATTTCAGATCTGTTTTACGATAGAGCGCTCAATGCTCTTTCTTACAATGTGTTTTCGCGCAATTAGTTATCGCAGAATTTCACATTGGATAATATCCAGCCAGGTAATCTCGCAAATTAGAAAATTTTGACAATCAGTTTAAATAAATGTGAAGATCGCGAAATTCTAAAAATCCTGAAGTATTAAGATATTAAAATCCTTCGAATAACCTTTTTCACGCCTCTATCTCTCCTTGTCGCCGCCGAAGTAATATAACTGGTACGCACAGCTTGAAGATCTTACTGCAACACTGATGTGTAAACTAAATTTTTTTTTATTTAAAAAATAATTAAGAATTTAAATATATAAAACATATTTTAAAGAATGTGAAATAGAGCTCGATTTGAGAGAAATAAATGTGATCATGTAAAAAAAAAGGGATAGCAGAGTGTAGGAATAAACATAGAAAGTGGGAGTTGGTAGAAAACATATACCAACAACAAGAGAACATTTAAATAAGTATTTGCCATATCCCTCCCCCTTCTCTCTCTCTCTCTCTCTCTCTTCCTCAGTAGACGAATGCGGAAACTCTCTGAGATTCTGTGATCTCGACGGGTGTAAAATGCTCGTGTGTACAATGCGCTCACGCACGTCTCAGAAAGGGAGAAAACGCTCGGTCGAGCCACGTGGAGAACAGAAGATAGGTAGGTAGGTAGGTAGGTATGGTACGGATAAACGCAGGAAGAGCACGACGACAACGAGAAGGAGGACGACGAAGGAGTATGAAAGGAGGTGGAGGTGCGGGTCGGTATAAAAGGGTCGCATCGCGACCGCCTCGTCTGTTTTAACACTCTCACCGGGCCGCTCGGTGGATCGATCGGTGGAAGAACCGGGACGTATACGCGTGTCATCGTCGATCGTCGATCGACTACCTCGAGAAGACATAGAAAAGGAGAGTAGAGAGAGAGAGAGAGGAAGAAAGAGGTGAGTCCCCGAGGGATACCGGATACGCAGCAAAGTGGAGAACAAAGTGCCCGCCGCCGCCCTTCGTTAGGAAGGCCAGAAGTCGTCGAACCGAGACGGAGCGGAGAACGATTTCCGGTAGTCGGACCTACGTACGACCTTGACCGACTCCGCGTTGGCGTCCATCCCCTTCCTCGTTCCTCCATTGTCCGATCGAATTAATCGAAGGGAAGAATCCCCCGAGGGCTGAGAGAGTGATACTGTGTGCGACGCTAATACAGTGAGGTAACCGATATTTTTTTTCGTGTGACACAATCGCGTCCGGAGGATTCGTTGTGAACTTGGTTCCTTGGTTCCTCGTCTGGCTGACGTCTCCTCTTGATTCCGACTCGTCACAGGGTTACTTCCGGGTACCAGCGCCGTTGCTATCGGGTCGCGGAGTCTGTAAGAGGCTAATGTGAGGCAACTTGAATAGTTCCACGCTTTTACCTTTTCTTCTTTTTTTTTAACGAAAGGTAACAGAAAAATTATTCGATTGTTCTTTTTAAAACTGAAAACAATGGAAACATTCTTTGAATATGCTTTCCAAGAAAACTTAATAGGAAGAACATTTTAAGTATTCTTAATAGAGATTAACCGTGTGTTTACGATCAATTTTCTTATTAGTTCATTAATTGATTGTCAATAGCGAAGAATTTATTTAACTTTTGCAGTCATTCTCTTACGTAAATATGTTATTTAATTCTATTTTTATCGACATCTTTCAATCTCTACAAAAAAAAGAATCGATTGCAATTGCTTCCGTCGGCAGAAAGAATATTGAAATTTCGAAAGAAAAAAGGAGAATTGGAAATGTATTCTCTCACAAGCAAGTGACAACGAGATAAGATCATCCTTCTATATCGACTTTTTGTAAGATAGATTATTTTTATATCTCTTATCAACTTGGCATCATAGAATTTATTCACTTACGCATTATCCTTATTCCAATCTCTCTCACGCCTTCTCTGTAGAATTCGTCTGGTCGAAATGACCAGAAAGATGCACGAAGACGCCATCGACTACCGTTGTTATTCTATCCGTAGCGCAATTCGAATGAAGACATCCGGTTTATTGCAATGCGGCTCGTAAATCCCGTCCCGCGACGTTTCGCGTGCTCGTGCTCCGAAAGTTGAAAGCATACGCCCGGGAATGCTAAGAGATGCTATGGGAGCGCGCTGTCTACCTCGCGATTGATCGCCGGTCATAGCACGGAAAATGTCTCTTCTGCAGGCGGAAAAAGGCGCAATTCCTTACGGTTAACTAGTATATAGTCCGGGTTACCGTATCGCGCATTTATCGTGCCTCGAATAGCGTTCTAACAAGTCGCACGTGTCGCTCGTAACGGGTAACACGAGCAAATCAGTCTCGTCGACATCCTCCTGTTATTTTATCAGTGACCCCTGGGTAATGCCTACACTGAAAAAAATTTCTGGTTGAATATGGACGAATCAGATAATTCCTTTAGGATTTACCAGAATTCCTGTAATCCTACAGAAATTCTGGTAAATCCTAAAGGAATTCTGGTAAATCCTAAAGGAATTATCTGATTCGTCCATATTCAACCAGAAATTTTTTTCAGTGTAGGCGATAGGGCAATGCCCCAAGCCAATCGCGCTTCTTGCATCTATTTAACAAATAGACGAAAGCAGGACTTGTCGGGAGCTAAACAATTTTACCTAATGCCCTAAGAAAAGGTCGCTAATCGATATTTAAGAGCTAGCGATCCGCGAACGTAAAGGGGAATGCGATTATAAATGAGCATCCAGTTTTCAAGCCGTGGTGGGTGCGTCGCGCAACTCCCGTCCCCGCGTTACTTTTAATTCCGAAAGAGATGATGGCACCCTCTACGTAACACCGGTTCGTCCAGAATAACAAATAATTCTACTTCCTCGTGTTCTAATTCCTGTTTGCAGAGCCATGAGACTAGCGGCAGTGCTGACGTTGCTGTGCTGTCTGGCGATAGGGGCACTCGCCTCGCCGGTGCCCAAGATCGCTGACAGCAAGATGTCGACTCAGAATGTCATTGCCACCGGCAGGCAATCGCCCGCGGCGCCAGCCGCCGTCGACGACGATGACGACGACGACGATGACGACGACGTCGATTTAGATATCACCGACGACGACGACGACGACGACGACGACGACGACGACGACGACGACGACGACGACGACGATGACGACGACGGTGATTACTTGGAGCGGTTCATTGAAGATATACTTGGAGGTGAGAAATCGACTGCACTGTTCTCTCAACGAGTGGCGCGTAATTTTTAACGAAATAATTTTAATAAAAAAAAAAGAAAGGACGCGCTCAAGAAGATTTACGTTAATGGCCTGAACAATAAAAGATAAGAGAACAAGGTAAATTCAAAGCGGGGGAAATTAAAGATTCGTGAACACAAATACTTGTAATTCAGAAGCCCAGCGAGAAATGTCTCGTCGATCGATGTCGAATCGACGTCAATTTGTCAATGTCGATGTCGATTCGACGTCGTTTCGACGAATCATTTCTCACTGGGAGTATTTCTTCATGAGTGTATCTTACCAAGTACCGTTACACATAAACTTGATATTCAAATAGCAGCTTTGCCAAATAAACTATCAAGCTACGTATATGAAAAGCGGAGAGATAACAGATTTGCCAAGTTTCTCCTAAATGCAAAATCACCTACTTGCCCGTATAATAAACAGTTTAATTTCTTTCTCTGCCATCGAATGGCGAATCGCGCGTAAGCCGCAACTTGTTTCTACCTGTGAGCTCAACTGCGAATCGATCTGTTGTTTTCTTCCTCGATTCGCGCGTACACGTCAGTTCCTTTTCCGTCATCTTAGACAATAGAAATTCTTGCAAACTGACATACACCGTTATGTAAACGCGATGCCTTCGTATTGCCTGAGAATCTCTCTTTCTCGCTCGCATATGCTCGCGCGTTATAACGGTACAAGGTACTTTGACTCGTCCAAATTAACATAAATCGACAGCGATCTCGGTTTGGAAAAAAATTTCTACGCGCTACTTCTTCGCATTGACCTGAATACCAAACGATAATCCGAGTTCTCTCGATTCCCGGCCGTCTCTTATGCAGAGTGCGTTAAAATCACGAATGCGTGAACTTGTGAAAGATAATAAAGTTACCCGTGCACTCTCTGTAAGTACGGTTTTGCAATGTTTTAACGACGTTGTAATAAATTTTCTCCCTGCATTTACGACACGGTTTTTTTTTTAGAGAGATTCGAGGTACAATTGAAGTTAGTTCCTGACGGACAAATAAATATTAATCAATTTCACTGACTGTAATTTTCTACTTTCCGCTTTAGTTGGATAATCCATTCATGTCGCCCGATCTAATAACAGCACTATATCAAATATATTATCAATCTACAATATGCCATTGTGAACTTGCAGGAGAGGACGACGACGACGACGAGGAGGAAGAAGCTGTTGCCGCACCGGTACCTGTTGCCGCCGCGACAGTTTCCACCCCTGTGAATTCGCAGCAGGTGCCGCTCGCCGTGGCGGCTGATCTGAATCAGGCGGCGGCCGAGGAAGCTGCGGAGGATGCTGGGTCGAGCGAGACGTCCGAGGACGAGACCAGCAGCTACGAGGACGAGGAGGCGGGCGATGTCGAGGGTGCAGCTGCGTCGAGTGTGCACGAGTCAACGCTCGAAGGTGCCGAGTCCATCTCGAATCCGGTATCAGTCCAGGCCGTCGGGGCAGCGGTTTCGCCCGGCGTCGCGGCGGCTGCTCCGTCCAGCGACGAGGACGACGACGACGATGACGACGATGACGACGACGTAGACTTGGACATCACGGACGACGACGATGACGACGACGACGACGATGACGACGACGACGACGACGACGACGACGACGACGACGACGAAGTGGATGACATCGCCGACATCGCCGACGCTAGGCACGCACGTGAGTTCAAGGGCAAGAAGGCCAAGAAACATAGCGTCAAGCACCCTCGCAAGTCGCGTAAATCGATCGCACGGTCGCTCTCGTCCTCTTCTTCACCCTCTTCTACTACTACTTCTTCTTCTTCTTCATCTTCTTCTTCCGCCTCCGCGTCGAAGAGCGTTTAGACCGAGCTGCCGCGAAAACCGAATGACAAATGCAACGTAATCCTTTGTTCTGGCGCGCTCTCTTTGCCGTCGAGTCGTTTGGCTCCTGGCACGGAAGTTTCTTGGAAGTCTCGTGGAAGTCGTTGCACATCGATGGCTGTCTGCCGATCGATTCCATCGAGCGTTTTCACATCGGTCTCACGAGATCGGTTATCAGAGCGACTACGCCCGATCGTGATACTCGCTCGTGGAGCGGAATTATTTCGTTTCGATTTCATGTCTCCTCAAGGGGCGTAATTCTTTTTTATATTTTATACCTCTTGAATGTAACCACCGCGCCCTTGCGAGATTTTGCAACAAAAAAATTAAGGGAACGAAACGAAACTCATAGTCTAAAAAAGCGCAAGAGAGTGTGCACTACGCTGTACCGACCGATCTTGCCGTTCTCATGTCGCTTCTTAAAATTAAAAATCTATATTTATTGTCCCTTACATCTAGTAATGAGTAATAAAATTAATATATAAATATTAATTTTATTGACGTCATTTTGAAGTCAAATCAAATTAAGCGTTGAAAAAGTTGTCATTTAGAAATTTAATAAATTCTCTAGTATCGTGATTTGATTAGCGGGCAAATCTTTCTTTAATATTCGACCCTCGTGTAATGTGAGTATTATGATTTATGTATATAATTGTGTTCTTTAATTTCGATCCTCAGTAGTTGTGTGATAGAGAAGAAGAACGAGATGGAGAATTTTTTACGTTATGTCCACGCGACAGTTTCTCGATCGGGCGATCGGATTCAACGAAAGTCCGCGCTAACAAATTTTCGCGCGAGCAGAACGAGACGTTTCTGCTACTTGAATCTCGTGCACCTATAAACAATCATTTCACTCTAAATTATTTCAAGCGTTAGTTATTTATTGTATTTACGGCAATATCTCTATTTAAAGTCGCACCGCACCACAGACTGACACGTCCGGTCTCTTTGTAGTCCTTTGGTCTCTCTCTTTTAAGCACGTTTCGGTTACTTATGGTTTAAGACACATGCTAATGTTGTAGGCTTTTAGATTGTTCAGAAACTTTTTGGACGCGTCTTTTAGTACCTTTTGGATCCTCGCGTTGCATGGAGTAGCATTGAAATGCTTTGGCTTGGTGACCTCACGTCACGTATTTTCCTCCTTTTTCCAACATTCGTGATCCATCTTGCCGTCAGTCGGCAGGAATGAGGAATAAAAAAAAAGAGAGAGAAAGATAGAAAGGACGAGAACGGAAGGGGAATGCGCGTGCACGAGAGAGAAAGAGAGACCGAGTTCTAGAGATATCATTTAGTCTCGTCTATAGGATCAAGAGACATCGAAGTCGCGTACATTAGAAAACAGAACGAGAAACTGATCTCGTCCTGTTTCTGTTCTGTCGAATTAGTAATAAGATGCTTAATCTGGCAGATGACTCAAACGTCAACGTTCTTCACTGTAAATACATATCTAATCTTAAAAATTATTCTACGTTACATAGCCTTACGCATAGATTTTATATATCGCGTTTCTATTAAAGCTGCCTACCACCTGCCAGATTAAACACGGTCGATGACGGTGTCGATTGCTCCGCGCGAATCGAGAGATATGTCTTTCTACGATGTTTCTCTACTCTAGACCAAGACTTGTACAGAGACATTGTCCGTTCTGGATTGCAAAATACAAATAATTTATTATTTTTACAAAGTTGTGTGTACCGCCTATTTATTTCATTCACCATTGTCCAGTCTCGCATTGAGTCAGTCGTACGTGTTTGTGTCCAGATACACTCGCGTTACACGTGATCCAGGAGGATGAATTCTCTCTGTTTTCTCTCCTACGACAAATCTCAAGTCGCGAATCTCTTTCGCTCGGAGCCGGAGATTGGGATAATTTCGGTTCGGATCGACTTTCGATTGCCGCGGCTCGTCACGCGAGGAAAACCGAACGGCCGTGATGCGGATAAAACGCCGAGTTGCTTTCGCGTGTCCGCGACATTGGAATTTATATTCTCTCGATGAAATTATCGATCTCGATCTCCGGCTGAGGAAAGGGCGTGTTCTCCGTTTTCTCGTGACGTGACGTGACGTGACGTGACGTGTGGCAAACCCGCAGCAACCCGCCTGGCTATTTGAATGCGTTCGATAGATAGCGGCACATTTTCTCTTTTCCTGGCGTCTTGTATCAATTCGATCCTATACTTGCTTTTTTTTTGTCACTCGTCTCTCTCACGAGATCGTAGCCGCCCATGCCTGCTGTCGCTTCAGCTGTATTTTCTATCTATCAGTAGAGGTGATCGCGTGTTTGGTGGACGGTTTTGGACAATCGACTGCAACAACGTGTACCTGGACAGTAGCACGACATTCTTCCACTTGTCCCCCATCCGTGTTCCTCAATCTCCCGTACCTTCGAACCCCCATGTAGACAGTAAAATTAGTAGTTAGTAACTAACTAGTAATTGATAAGAGAAGTAGCTGATAACCAAATCGAGAAAGAAACAATTTGGTCCGGCGGCACACCCTTTTTTTTTTACTCGTAGTTTGATCCTTTCTATCTCAAGTAATTCGCTTCTGTGTCTGATTTGTTCTATGCACATTAGTCGTACCTTTAATAGCTCCACTTTGATCGGTCCACCTTTCGCTAGCTCTTGTTACAACAGTCGACACCGTGCGCTCACGTATCACAGATATTCATTCCCGTGTGTTCGTTTCGCGGGCAAAACTTAACGAGTGAGCAGGCAGCGGGAACGAAACCGCCGAAGGTTTCGACCGAACAAATCGCCGCCATCAGTTTATGAACGGAGATTCTTAATTAACCGTCACGCGCCACATCCAATTAACTTTCTACATGAGTGCCGGGTTAAATCCAACAAAGGTGTGACCGCGTTGAAATTTTTTCCCGGCTTTCACCGGGAGTAGCCGGTCGAAAAAGAAACGAGGCCACCGACCCGGAGAACGCGCAAGCGATGTACCGGAAGAGTCTCCTCCGGCTGCGACCCTGACCCACAGCCAAAGTTACGAAGCCGATGTCCTTCGGTATCCGTCAGGCCTAAACCGTGATTTAATACACGATCGCTCTTAATCTCGCCGTTGCGCGTGTGTGCGTAGGACCGACTGACCTATTTCGTTCCTCGAAGGTGAGATGAGTGAAGACAAAACTCTACTCTCTTATATCTTACGCAAAATTAATGACGCGTCGAGTAATCTCTTGGAACATTTAATTGCGGTGGATGAAAGATTATAAAATTGCTGTGAACATGTGAGGATAAAATGAGCGCCTCGTGTGAAAGTTGATATCTCTTGTCCTTCGAGCAATTACCGCAGCGAATTATTATCGCTCGAACGTATCGCTTGAAATTAAATTAATTTACGCAAACGAACGCGAAGAATTGGAGATTTCAAGCTCTAAAAATAAGAATCTCAGACAAGAATCGAAATCACGAAAACGCGTAAGAAATACCGTACACTTTTATCCAACACACACGTAACAAGATAAACGCGTTAAGTAATCGTATGTTTCGATAAAAAAAAGTTTCTTCGAAAGAATAAGTTGAGATTAATAAAGAATAAATCGCTGTCCCGTTACCAAATGCTCGTTAGTTGGTTCTGCCGGACCTTTGATCAAAGTTTCAATGCAGCACTCGGCGCAGAAAGATAAGGCTTGGACCACGCGCCATACATACCGAACGTCTTATTGTACGTTATTTTCGTTTTAAAATCGTAAAGTGTCTCTCGATAAAAGCTATTTTGGTCCAGTCGCGTCGCGTAAAGGACTCCTCTGGAGCACGCCGAAGAGTTCCGAGAATATACAGCGGCTATTATCGCGCCCGCGGTACCGAGAGGCTCCGGTTGGGCCTCGACCGAGACCTCGGTATTCAACACGCCTCCGTCTGTGCCAGAAGTAGACGGCCTTGATATTGCCCGTGGCATGAGATTTTCATCGCGGCGTGGCACGGCGTGGTCATGACGTCCGAAAGAAAGTCGTGCTTACGTGCTGCAGGAGGTGCAACGACCGGGGGAGAGTTTTTAGGTAGGCAGCAGTCGGATGGACCTGCCGCGGCTAGATGGGTCTGTAGGTGAGTTATGTAGCGAGGAAGGAGGTCGTGGCCTAGATCGGGGACCAGTTTGGCCGCGCCGAAGGATTCCGATATACCGTTAACATTGTCGTCGCTTTAAGTAGGCTCCTCCTCGATCGGCAACCTCCGACTTCCTTCCAGGGTAACCGGCGGGGAGGGGAATGCGTTTCCCTTCATTAAAACCCAGAGACGGTGCGTCGAGCTGCGTCGCGGCCACGGTCCCACCCTGGTCAATGACCCGGACGAAATGAAATGACCTCACGAAAAGTGGTCTCAAGGACGCAATCGGGGCACGTTTCCAGAGCCGCTCTCCCCCTTCCTCCCCTCCCCCTCTCTGTTTACCACGACTCGACAATTTTTGTAGAATTCTGTGAAAACGGGTGATTTTCGAGACTCGCCACTTGTAAACTGATGGCTTTCCGAGAAGAGTAGAGGTTGTCAAGCGATAAAGCTTGGTAACGGTGACGGTAGCGCAAAATTACTAAGTTAACATCTAATACATTCATATGCAACAGTTACCTCTGTTTTAATTACACGACATATACAATTTGCACAGGTCCGCGATCAATCTTTTCCTCACCGCTACCAATAGAACTTAGCCAGAGACTCGTAGTTTAAAATCACTTTAAATCATCAAAAGATTAATATATTTACAAGAGAATGTCGCAACTTGAACCAATTTCAGATTGCGAATACTGTTCCAATATTGAGGGAAACATGTCCGCGTAGACTTTCGCGCGAGGATTATCCGAGAAAGTAGAGATGGTAAAACTGATGCAATTTCTATCAATGGTTTAGGTAGCATGGAATCCGAATCGAGCGGTCACGTGCCGGCGATTTACGTGGCAAAATACAATCGCTTCGTCGACATTATTCTCGGCAAGATCAACAACATTCTGCGCACCAATTACGAGCCGGTGACCGTGAAACTGACGAATCCAAATTCAAGCTCTAAAACGAGCAAGAACAAGAACAAGAGCAAGAGGAAGGGCACCAAGAAAGGCACCAAAAAGAGCGCCTCGAGACCGATCGACGAGTCCGCTGTCACTGAGAGGAGCGACAATGAAAATGACGTCGAGGTATGATTTGCAATCACTCTCTTCCTGGCGATTCAAATAATATCGAATGACACCCCAAATAGCACACAAAGTTCTATGAACATTCTTCTGGGGTGCACATATTCTTAATTTCAGAATATTCCAATCGAATATTCTCTATAGATTCTTTAAAAAATTTCAAGACGAAAATTCTAATACAAAAATGTCGAGGCTATAATAGTTTTTAAATAATAAGCGGTTGTATTTCACAAATGACAGGCCTGAGATTCCGCGCGCTCAGGTACGGCGACATCGAGTTTATGTATTGCACATTGTTCATTGTGTAATATGATACATAGAGGTGTGACAGTTTGATGTTATCTTTATACGCAAAATATCGCAAAATGCCCCAAGAACGTTTTTAATGCCATTTCTTTACATTTTTGGAGTCCCCAACTTCGTTCTAACACGTTTTTAAAAAGCAAAATAACGCAAAATGATCCTCAACGCGTCCAAAAAATAGCGTCCAAAATAACGTCTTGTGCTATCTGGGATTGTCGAGGCCCTAATAGTTTTCTTAAAATGGAAACTTCTCACCAATAAAATTTTTCGAATCTAATTAAACGACGAAATTGAGTAAATTGGTAGAACTTTGGAATTTTTTATAAAATAAAGATTGACTCTAAAGTCATTGAAGAATTCATAAGTAAACTTGCTAAGTTTAAATATCCTATGCACCTTTGGCAAATATGTTCGGCATGTATATACGATTCGTGCTTGCAGAAAGTCACGCAGATCGTTGAGTCTGTCGTAACGCAAACGAGCGCAACGGAAAAGGAACCAATTTCACTGGAATCTCCCACAGAAACCAGCGTGAGAGCTAACAACAGGCGTACGTCCAACAAGAACAAGAACCCTACTAAGAATCGCAAACGAACGAAGAACAGGACGAAGAATCAAAGCAGCGGCAACAAGAACAAAGTAATTAAAGATTTAGATCTGAATCTGTAAATATTTGACGGCACAATTGCGCGACGTGGGCAGGAATGGGTATTCAGTGAGTTTCCTCGTGATTTTTAGACGAAATCTAAGAGCAGACCGAAAGCGAGAGCCACCCTGTACGGACTGGCGTCCTTGCAGAGGACGGGCGACGTATCGGTGAACATGATGAGCGATCACACGACAATCAAGACCAAGTTCAGCCTGGGGCCACTGGTGCTGAAGGTCGAGAAAGAGTTTGGCCGGGCTGCGAAGAAAGAGCTGAGGAGCGCGACCGCCACCACGGCCGAGATGTCCGGCAAGCTGAGCCTACGTGTGTTGCACGGCGGTGCGGCGACGCTGCATTCTATTCGGGTTTTGCAACCTAAACAAGTACGTCGACAGACGGGAAAAACAGTTATAGCAACATGTGAATACCACGGAACGGGAATGCCAAGTCAATAAGCAGATAGACAGACGATTTTCTATGTTCGACCGTACGAGCTGAATTCCTAAAGACTTCCTCCGATGTATCTTTCCATCTCGCTGGCTGTTTTTACTAATATAGAATCGATCCTTGGTAACACAGCGCATGGACCAAACATTGGTTAAAAATTGGCCCAATGTTTGACTGCTACTAAGGATATTCTAACTTACGATAAAATGCTCTTAGGCCCGATTTCACCAAACGTCGCTCAACTGTAATCTTAGCTTAATTCATGTTTGTCTCTCTCCAAAGTAACAGTTGGAAAGAGACAAAGAACGAATTAAGCTGATCGAGCTTAAAGTTAAGCAACGTTGGTGAAACTGGACTTCAGCAAATGCAAATTCAGTTACAGAGAAGTATTTTTCTAAAAACTCAATTTTTCTAAATTATATTAATTTCATGTATATCGATGTTACGCTGTGCGATCAGTGCGTCAAATCAAAATCAAAGCGTTAGTCATTTGATTAAAAAGCGACGGTTTGTTTTTAACTCGGCGCGAGAGATTCAGCCTTGAGGGCCGACGTGATAAATCACGAAACGGTCAAGTGCGGGCAGCAAACAGCTGCTCTTCTGTTAACTTAACACCCTTGTTTGTATTCACGTATCAAACTGAACGTTTCCTTCTCTCTCTTATCTTCTAAATCAGGTTCGAGTGGAAAGCCAGGACGACCACGACAGAACGCGGGAGTTCGTGTGGAAGAGATCGTCGCATATCGCGCATTTGGTGTCGCAGAAACTTTCCTCGGCCACCAGGTCTATGCTTCGACCGCCGCCTGTCTCACCCGCAGCTTAAATCACACACTTCTGCCGCTCCTTGGTCCAACTGAAACCGCCAGTAATCGCCGATCGAAGTGACAATTGATCCACGAGGAATCCTCGTCAGAAGATCGAATGCAACGCGGTGTATATCGTTTTACGGAGTATACATCTGCCATCGAATCGCCAAAGCGCGATGACTTCGGTGGACTGGTTAACTCGATTTATATTAATAAGATGATTTTTTTTCACTCGCGAGATAAGCAAAGCACTCGCGAGAGAAAGTAACGTTGAAAACGCATACACGATGTCCCACTTGCAACTGCGTTATTTATTTTTTTAATCGCTCGATCAATTCGTCGATTTTTCCTCGAGAGAAACGTCGAGGTATCAATAGTTTCTCAATTAACAATTGAAAATAAAAAGTCTCTGGCGAACTAGGCTGCGGCAAAAGTATGACAAAAAATTATAAAATTATACTCGATTCATGAATACCGCGTGGTCTTCGTTTTATGATCAGTGATAATTTATCTGAAATATTTTCGCTAAGAAGAGAACCGGGAATTCAGAAGTAATGGAGCAGAAAAGGGACATCCTCTAATACAATTACGGATTTAACGTTGGACCAATATTTCGGCCGTATTTTATTAATTATTTATTTATTTATTTATTTGTCATATAGTTTGTAATTTCTCTTCAGAAAAAGTCTGATATATGTACTCTAGGAATACGGTTAAATGTCGAAACACGTAGATGCAAGCCATTATATGAATTAGGTTGATTTGTTTAGATAAATGTAAAGAAGTCTGTTGCCAGAATATTAGAATATAAAATATATACACGACACACGATGCGTTCACGATCCTTGATCTTTACGTTTCCTACTTTGCAAGTGAAAAGGGAATTTCGTCATTTCGTTGCATTTTATATTAATTTTCAGGCGAATTTGCAAAGATATCAATATGGATTTCCGTAAATCTACGCGAAAAATTTAAAATAATGCGCATTTAAAAGTACGAAAATAGCTTTAGCCAATAAAATCGCAATTGTACATACATAAAGTAAAAAAGCATCCTGTATATACTGCATGCGTTTCATACGTTCCAGCTAATATATGCGTTTGAGTCACGGTTAAAAGTTAAATAATCTTTAAATTAAGCGTGTTTATGGACGTGTCAATACATTAAATCAGCAACGTAACGATATATACATAACATTGGCGGCGGATTTCTCAACTTTCATTATAAGGGAAATTTCACCGCGTCAGTCCTCGTTGTAACGAGGTTGCAATGTTACATCCTAACAAATGCCGCGTGAAAAACGCGCGTATCATTTCTGTTGACGCGGCAATAGTGCGACGGTATCTTTTTACCGCATCTACGACTCTATTTATGTTAATAGACACGTTTCCTGCACGGTTTTAAAAGTCAGTAAGCGAGAACTGGTTCTCTCCTCGTGACGGACGTTGGCTTCATCAAAGTCTCCATGGTTTTTAATAACATAGGTACGTAACTACTGTGCAAAAGTAGAAGAAATTTCTACACCGATAAGATTCTCTCCTGCAGCCCAGGAGTCAGCGCGCAGCAGCGTCGTCGCTGCCAGAAATAAACACACATTTGCATACAAATGTTTTCCTCGGAATGTATTACGGCGATACGCTGCGTGGTTTGATCCCCCAGCTGATAGCACGCGTAATTTATCGATAATTGCAGTTTCGCTGTGGTCTAACGTGGCCTCGTTCAGTATCATATTAGTTTATCGCCAAACTTGGAATGTGTCCCCGTCAATTGTACCTTTCGAACGTCGCACGAATAATATCGACAGCTGGTGTGGAAGCCGCTTAAAACTGTCGAGTAAATATTGAGAAACGTGTTATTAAGACGCGTACGAGAGTCCCACGAAACTACCGGCCATTGCGACACCTTTACCGATTTCCCAAGTGCTTTTACATCACCTGGGAAGAAAAACATCTTTACTTCGGTTAAGGCCCGGTTTTCCATTTTCTGGTTAAACCAGAGATTAGCCGACTCTCCATCTTCTAGAGGAAAATCCCTTATTATAAGATAACGGGTTTTTCAACATCCACCTGGATAGCATTCGTGTCTAAAAGACATCTTTCAGACGGCACTAAGTTGTCTTTTAGACATGCACGTCTAAGGCCTGGTTTTTCATTTTCTGGTTAAATGTTAACCAGAGGTTAGTCGACTACCTACCCAGTGAGACATGATTCGTCGATCGACGTGTCATTTCTCTCTGGGTGCCTCTTCTTAGATAATAATATAGAAAAAGATGGAGAGACGACCTCCCCTAGCAGAAAAAATTTTGGCATGTTCTTTCCGATGGACCACAATTGCCATGAGCTTCGACAAGTAATTTATGAGCTGTAGCTGCAGTTTTTTTTCAAATCAAAGTAATGAAGCAGCACGTGTCGATAAAACAACTTATCACGTTCCACGTTTAATCAAAAGAAAAAAAAATGGCACTGTTCGCTCAAATGAATCCTTTCGCGCTGAATTTTATTGACAAAAGTCTAATCTTTAAAATGCAGCCAGTTTCAGATGTCAAAGTAATTTACACTTACAACTAGCGTCATCTAAATGTGAGCCGCGGAAACTAACTTTACCACCTAATAGTATTTCATGAAAATGTACAATTTTGTAAAAATTAGTACAAAACTTTACCAGTTTTAAAAATTTGAGAAACAACAAAATCGTCTAACATCTGCTTACTTGTAGAATATTACGAAAATTAACAAAAGTGTTCCAATTCTAGCATCTTCATGTTGACTTTTACAAGACTTTTTAAATTTACGTAGAATTTCTTAGATTCTGGCAGTATATATATATATTTTTTTGTAGAATTATTTCCGGCAGGATCTGGTTAACAGTTAACTAGAAAATGAAAAACCGGGCCTAAAAGGTGTCTTAAAGATCTTCACGACGTCTTTTAGACGTGCATTGCTGTCTGGGCAATTTCACAAATCTTTTTCCGCAACGATTACGCGCACGGTCTAACAATGAATTTTCCGCCAAAAAGATTTCACCCCAAGGGGCAACAAATTTCGCAGAAATCCCACTGTCTCATTTTAGGAGCATATCTCATGATAGGAAACTCTTCTCTATTATCTAACAATAAGAAGAGACAGAGAGTCAATTCTGTATCTTACAACATAGTAAAAATGCCAAAGTGAGCGGCTTGTCTCTTTTTAAGGGGACGGTTAGAAAGAGACAGAGTTATTGACCCCCAGGTAATCGACTAACCTCTGGTTGAACGTTCAACGGGAAAATAAAAAAAAAACCGGATCCCGAGAGACAAATAAAAGTGAAATAAGAAGCGAGCTTTAGTTTTCGCTATTTCGGCCCATCAGCGCACGGGTCTCGTTTTCATTCTTGGGTCAGGCTGCATTGTATTTTACTTTCATTTTAGCCCTAACGTTTATCGCCTCGCACGCACAAAAAACATGCGTATTATAGTATGTAAATGTGCGTCGAGCTTGAACGACTTTGCGGATCAGGGTCAATCAGGGACGTCTGCGGAGGAGAGAAAAAGCGAAAAGGAAGAATCCCCGCGGCCCCGCCGCGCCGGAGCCGGGGACGGAGACAGAGAAAGAAAGGAGAGAAAGAGAGAGAGAGAGAGAATCCAGTGGCACCCTCTCTCACGCGAATTGGGCATCTCGACGGGAACGCGGCTGCACGCGCATGCGCGATGGATCCGACGACACACGTGCGAATGTTGCTTTCGTTCGCCACGGCGAGACGCAAACAGTCGTGGCCGCGACTTGGACGCGGTTGTGCTCGCACGCGGGGGGGATTTTCGTACTGTGCCTCGCTCCGACTTTCCTCGACCCATCCCTACCACCGCGGTCGTCGCCGCGTCGCCGCCACGCCACCGCCGCCGCCGCTGTCGCCGCCGCCGCCGCTGTTGCAATGCCGCTGTGACCGGAGTCCGTAAAGTCCAAGGAGTCGCGACGCGGCGCGGAGCGAGGCATCCCCGCACGATCCGCGGAAATCAAAGCTCGCGAAAAATTTGTGCGCGCCGGCCCGCGTACGAATCCCCGACTGCCGCTCGCGCGCCCCGACGCGAGAATCTCCTGTTGCTCCGCCGCACCGTAATCCCGAAATAGGATCAAGGATAACGACGTCGTAAATTTTTTCGCGTCTACGTGCCGCGGCGCCGCGCGAGAGCCGAGAAACCGGTCGGTTGTACTCGAGTAAGTTTTCTCTCTCTCTCTTTCTCCTCGGAGATTATCGTATTCGCTTAAAAACCGATACGTTGAATTATCGCGGGGGCACCGCGTACGATTTAACGTACGATACGCGAATGATTGAAATGCGGTAAGAAATAGAAATGTTTCTCTGCCGAGGGATATAAAGATTCTCTTTTCTGCAGATTCCCGTTTGAAAGAGGAAACAAGTAGGAAACAAATAGCCTCCACCAAAATGGCTTCGTTAGTGGCGAGCGTGAGAGTATCCAGCTCTCTGCACTACCTGTGCGCTTGTGCCGCGAGAACATTGGCGACGAGCGCGATGCCGAGTCCTAAGGACGAGGCGAGGGAGGTGATCGTCAATTACTTGGACGGCAAGGACAACGGTATCGCCGTATTGGGATTGAACAGGCCGACCGCTCGCAACTCCTTCGGCAAGCTCCTGGTCTCGCAGTTGAACGAGGCGCTGGCCTCCATCAGGCAAAACAACAAGCTGAGGGTGCTGATAATACGCAGCCTGGTCCCGAAGGTGTTCTGCGCCGGGGCCGATCTGCGGGAGAGATTCAAGATGGATAACTCGGAGGTGCTGCGATTCGTGTCCTCGCTGCGAAGCCTAATGACCAACGTCGAGACCCTGCCGACGCCGGTGATATCGGCCATCGACGGGGCCGCGCTGGGCGGAGGGCTGGAGCTCGCGCTAGCCAGCGACATCAGGGTCGCCTCTGCCGAGGCCAAGATGGGCCTCGTGGAAACCAAACTAGCTATAATCCCGGGCGCGGGCGGGACGCAGAGACTGCCGAGGATAATCGGGGCGTCCAAGGCCAAAGAGTTGATTTACACCGCGCGGATTCTCGACGGCGAGCAGGCGATGGAGATCGGTCTCGTCAACGAGGTGGTCCCGCAGAACAAGGTCGGCGACGCGGCTTACCAAACGGCCCTCTCGATCGCGAGAGAAATCCTACCCAACGGCCCTATTGGCGTGAGGTGAGTCACCGTTCCGTGTCCGAGTATTACAAATCGAATTATCCACTATTGTATAAACCTATGCAAACAAGAGCGTATAATATGAATCGTAAAAAGGCACAAACTAAAGGTAAGAATTGGAGACATTAGTTACATGAAAAGAGAGCCATGTAGTAAAAGCAAACGTTGAAGAACACAACGTTTTATAATGCGAAAGGACCGCGGAAAGTACGTCATTGTTATTATCCTACAGTAAGAAGCAGATATTTCAACGTGATAATGACTCAGAATCGTTGATACGATCACATATTATGTAATATGCATCACACCACACACATTTATCATCTACTTGTGCTTATCGAGTAATACGCGATTCTCCGACGCTCGTATTTTACTCGTGACTTCCACTTGCGGACGGAGGCACAATACTTATTTACTGATATTCTTTCCTTAATCCTATGTTACATCGTGTAGATTGGCGAAAGTGGCTATATCTAAAGGCACAGAGGCGTCTCTGGAAGACGGTATGGAGATCGAGGAACAGTGCTACGGCAAGCTCGTGGACACGAAGGACCGAGTCGAAGGACTCGCGGCTTTCGCGGCGAAGCGCGTACCCGTCTACCAAGGAGCGTGAAAACTCGCGGTGCCATAACAAACGCTTAATTCACATATCACGGAACGGAATACATTTTATATCGTACATACGTATATAAATATACGTATCAATGGTTACTAAGTGACTATATATTTTTTAAATAGTTTATTAGAGGTGCATTTACGCAAGCTGGAAGTTACCTAAAATGACAAAACAAAAAAAATACTAATGTCAAAAGTTTCATGCAAATTACGACAACAGCTGTTACTGCATTAACCTTGCACATTTGCTATTTACATATGCTAATAAGCCGCCTTTTATATCTCGTCAGCAGCGGAAAAAAACACATTCTACGTCATACCGTGTCATACTTCCAATAAATACTATAACACTTTTCTCACTTTAACATTGTTATCGTTTTTAACGTAGTTTTAATATATATGTACATATGTATGCGTAAATGTAATGATATATGCGTGGTCGTGTATGCACATGTAAGACAATGGAATTTGTTTCAGATGAAAAATAAACTATATATATATGTATATATTCATAATGCCAATAACCTTTTTATTCAGCATTTACGACTTGAGTGCGGTAGGTGACTTTGTGTATCGATAAAACAATCAGAGAAAGAGCATATGTACAAATACATTTCTAACGTGTGCGTGGAAACAATTGTGCCCGGAGCTTGAGAGCGCTCGGAAATCCTACTCGAAGCTACGAGTTAAATACTATACTTTCGTCGTCGGGGAATGTAATATAATTGGCGAAAAGATAAAAGGAGAACTAAAAAGGAACGCAAACAAAAATGAGTCTGTTGTACAATAACGTATATGCTAATTAAAAATGCACATTCATCTCGGCCTAGAAAAGTATTTTTTTTTTAGGCCTTAGCCTATTAAACACATTGCATTGGAACATTAAGCTGCTCCTTCTCCCTGTTTTCTTTCACGACTGTCATAAGAACGTTCAACTGATTTACGGTATCCTTGGGACAAGTGACGCGGTGTCCTACCGTCAGATCGCTCTCGTAAATCTCGTGATCGTTACCGCCCTCGACAGTTTTGTCGCCGAAGAAATGTATCTCGTCATATCCCTGAATATGACGCAAGCAATATGTTTTATCCCAACCGTTGGGAAATACATCGAAAGAGATTTGTCCCCCTTAGAAAAAAAAAACACAAATAAATTTGCTTAAACGAGAATTTACGTAGTGCATCAATTTCGTCACGTTAACTCGCGCACGTCAGAGGTGTACGAGATCGTTGCAATAATAAAATATAAACGGTAACATTTTGCAACAGCTTAATAAATGTTAATTTGTTATATTAAGATTTATCTACACTACGCTGTATAGCCGGTTAAAGTAATTCCTTAGAGTTATTTCTACATGTTACTTACCGATGCTGTAAGTCAGTGCCAAATCAGGAAACTCCTTTTTAAGAGCCTGTATGAATTTCTCACGAGTATGATGCTCGCTGTCGTATTCGTTAAATTGCTCGCGTTCTTTCTTACTGCAATTCCGTCCTACGGGCGTAATGTTCATCATGCCCGTGCGAAATTCTATAAATGTTCCACGCTTAAATGGCAGCTTCAGCTCGGATATGTATCGCAAGGCGAAATTGATAAAATCCTGCAGCGCATCCTCTCCGAGCATGTCTTGGATCGACTGAAATTTGTGACACGTTTATGTTAGAAAAGAAGAAAGGAAATGCATCCTCCGCCATTATCTCTCGACGCAACTGCTTTCACTACTTACTTGAGACGGTAGAGCCTTGCCGCTCTTAAAAGCGATAACGCCATTTTCCGCGAAGACGTACTTATACTTCTCAAAGAGGTTTCCGCCGCCTAGCTGTTCTTGAATCTTGATTAAGTCAGAGCCCCCGACTACAGCGAGGTCAAACTCCTTCTTCACAGTTTCTAGGAGAAACTTTTCAACGCTGGGACTGATCGGCTGTGAAAAACAACGAACTTTTCTTAATCAACAAGTGAATGAAGGAGGCCAATCTTGACGAGCGCGAAAGTCAACGAGGCAATATATGTTTTCAACTTCCAGATGTTGCGGTTGAAGTACAGATCCGCGTTTCGGCGCACAGTGCTTTCATCAGCGCAAGTTAAGCTCAAAATTAAAATTAAGCGATTAAGCAAAGCAGTTGATCGACCAGCTATGCGTTTTCTTTCAACACAGAAAATTTATTGCGAAAAACATTACCTCAGCCAGGGTTTGAGCCTGGACCTCCCTTCTCTCTAGACAGGCGTCTCAACCAGTTCGACCACCGAGGTAATATTTTTCGCGATAAATTTTCTGTGTTAAAAGAACAAACACATGGTCGATTAACTGCTTCGCTCAATCGGGTCGATTCATCGGCTGGCGTCAAATGATTCTTATGTTAAAATTCAATTTCTTCTTAGTCAACAGAGGTAAGGATACAGGATCTTAACGCAGTTGTCCCAGTGACACCGCCTAAGCAGGAATATAGCGTGGGTCGGCGATGGGCCCCGTTCGGTTACGCGAAACGCACCTGCCGCGGCTCGGTGAGCGTGCCGTCCACGTCGAACAGGCAAATAATTTTCCTCGACATGACGCACTGCCGTGTCGTTCAGGCGCTCGGGTTTCTCTGAAACACACATTGTCGCTTTACACGCTAGGAATAGATAAATTAAAGATAGGACTAGGGAAAAGGGCAATAAAATACGAAGATGGGATTAGAAAAATGAAAGAGGATAGGTGGATTAGGAGATGTCAAAAAGAAAAAGAAGAGGAAGGTACACAAGATCTATATATGGAGGAAAGAGAAAAATATTACAATAGGAATGGATGGGGATTAGGAGCATTAGAAGGTTTAAAAAGAGAAAAAGAGAACTGGATACAGGAAATTATAGGAAGAGATAGAGAGGTACAAAGACAACAAGAGGAAAGTATGATAACAGAATCGAGATATAATAAAAGGTATAAAGAGTTAGACAGAAATGGAAATAGGCCTAGATACTTGGAAGACAGGAATGCGGAAGAGTATGCGTCAGGCGATAAGGTCAGAGCGCTAATGAATCTGAGATGCGGTAACCTAGAAAGATACAACAAATACTGGCTAGAAGAAAAAGAACTTACGTTTTTTTGTAATACGGGATGGGATAGTCTTGAACATTATATAAAGGAATGCAGTACGACATCACACTGGTTTAAGAAATTAGGGAAAAACAATAAAGAAATAAGAGATAAGATATGGAGCGACGAATTAGATTAGGGAAAAGGGTACGCTATTAGGAAGCTTTGGATAGAAAGAGAATGCAGACTGCGAAGTTGAAAAAAAAGAAAAAGAGAGAGTACAGGAGGAAGGAGGAAAAGAAATGTAAATAATAAATAAGCAATACAAACTAGTCACTAGTCACGATACGTAAGGAAGAAAGAGAGAGGAATAGAATAAGTATGCAGGAGTGAATGAGTTAAGTACTGTTGTAAACCAAGTCCACTTCTTGGCTGCAAGCTGAAAGTAAATAAATATATATTGTCGCTTTACATACGGAAACGCCGACGAATCACCGAGCACACGCAGACACGTCGCGCACAAAGTGAAATAGAAACGAGGATGCCTACAAAATTACATCGAATGATTACAGGCCAGAGTTTCTTCTTTTAGCTCCGCTACGAGCAGCCTCGAGACGAGGAAGATTACGGGCTCGAAGAGTGGGATTTCAAATCACGTGCCGAGTCGTAGAGGGACAGGTTAACAATCGCCTCGTTTCCCCCCCTTCCCTCTGCTTTGTTAGTAAAGATGATTTGCAGAGTAGTGTACGACACATTATTTCCAGCCCCGATTGACCTAATCGCAATTACGTACATATTTATAGCGCAGGGAAGCGTACGTGCTCGCGGTCACGTTTAATTAGGCCGAATTAGACCGAGAAGATGCGGGAGCCTCGAGCGGGGGGAAAAGAAGCGTACACGTAACCTATAATCCCGCTGCATTCGGAGGATTCGGAGCGACTCGGTATCACCGGCGGTGGCGCTGCAAATTTCGGCATACATAAAAGGGAGCGATGGCATTTCGCGCGGGACCAGCGACAAGGGGCCTCGTTCGACGGGAAACGCGACGGAAGGTGGAAAATACACAAAGGGAGGGGCATATAGTTTGCGTATACGTGGCCGGTTTGACGTATCTCGTACGCGGGTCTCGCGTCGGTGCTCCAGACGCCTGGAGACGCGTCGCGTTGCCAATCGAGCGAGGAAAAATGTACCAGATGCGGCGCGGAGAGCCCTTTTCGCGCCTCCCGTTGACGCTCGAGACGCGGAACGGCCGAGGGTGTCCTCGTCCTCTCGATGGGCGCGCGATACGTGACGCGAACGCACGTGCCGCCCGGCGAGACGCCACGTGACGGACAATCGAGGCCCTTGTCACGTGTCGGCTAGTGCGCAAGAGCAGGGAAAGTTTTCGTCGGCCGCGTTGGCAGTACTTGGCGTTGCGCGCGCGTCACGTGCTTCTCGCGCGCGCGCGCACGTGTGTGCGTGTCGCGCGCGTACACACGTGTGTCGCCCGCGCGGGGGGAGGGGGGGGGGCACGTTTGGCCAGTGTTGGCACGTGTCACGTTTGCGATATGTCGCCCAATTGTTTGAATAAACTATGCCTCTTGTGCATTGTCTTGTTGCGACTACCTGGCACACGTGGAGAACCTGACGCGGCTCGAAAGAATGTGCTCGTACTGTTGGGTAATTGTCGTGACGTACCCAAGGAGAGGAAAAAGTCGGGATGATGTCAATTTGATGTCATATTGACCGAATTTGCGTCAGGTCTTGGTCAATATGGCATCAATTTGACATAAATTTGGTCAATATGACATCAGGTTGACATCATCCTTTCTTCGCCTTGGGTATTTTTTAACGCATATGTTTTATATATGCAACTGCGAGTGTCTTGTCGAACAATTGAAACCAATTGATTGTAGCTTCATATAAATTGAGACGTTTCGTTTCGAAGATGAGAATGTATCTTCAGGAATTGCCCGAAGAAAATGAAGAGTCAGGATGTCAACTTGATGTCATATTGACCGGATTCGTGTCAAGTTTTGGTCCAGATGGCATCAATTTGACATAAATTTGGTCAATATGACATCAGGTTGATATCACCTTGACTTTTTCTTCTCCTTGGGTATTTTTTAACGCATATGTTTTATATATGCAACTGCGAGTGTCTTGTCGAACAATTGAAACCAATTGATTGTAGCTTCATATAAATTGAGACATTTCGTTTCGAAGATGAGAATGTATCTTCAGGAATTGCCCGAGGAAAATGGAGAGTCAGGATGTCAACTTGACGTCGTCTTGACTTTTAATTTTTCCTTGTTTGGAAGTGCGCATTTCAAATGCAAGAGATGACTTAACGAACTCTTTGACTGGGAAAAAAATGGGATAATTTTGTGGTCAGATCAATCGTAGAGCCATAACTCTTGCTACGCGGAATAACGATTTATTTATCAATTCGCAGCTGACGACGCGGGATTCGAAATGCGATCGTACTTGAATAAGATATGCCAAGCCCCTAATTTGGATAAATTAGCAAAGGAGAGTCTGCTGTTCAATAACGCGTATACGTCAGTCAGTAGCTGTTCGCCAAGGTAGCTTTGTTATATTTAAATTGGATCTAATTAACGAAGATATACATTTTATCTTGCATTTGTAGCCGTTCTGCAATATTAACTGGACTACCGAGTCATCAAAATGGGATGTACGGTCTCCATCATGGTGTTCATCACTTCAATTCTTTTGATAACGTGCAAAGTTTGCCGAAAATATTACGCAAAAGCAATATACGAACCGGTAACGAATAACAGATTCCCAATATCGCCGTATTCCAAATTGCCACAATGTACTAAAATATGTTCTTTGCGTAGGAATCATCGGTAAAAAACACGTGGGCCCGAGTAACGTTTATCCGTTTGACTTTGCGTACACGGAGGAAAATAATTCCATTCTCCAAGTAGGCCGCAACATTACTTACATAAAGCTACTAGTCCGCGAATTTCTCTCGCAAAATACAACGCAGTGAGTAACGTTTTACGTACGGCATTTGCGCGTAAATTCATTTTTATGAAACGACATGCAGTGCGACACCGTTGTATCGTGCACTTCGAAAGACTTGTCGGCTTTTATTGTACAGCATTCTGTAAAGCGTTTTCTCGAGTGTATGCAAAATTTTGCAGACCCTTCTTTCTATACGTTGCCTTCCACGATCCACATCGCTGTGGACACAGTCATCCAGAGTACGGTAATTTTTGCGAGAAATTCGGTAACGGCGATGTCGGAATGGGCACAATTCCCGATTGGAATCCAATATATTATCAATGGCAGCAAGTTAAAGTGCCCTACTACGTTCAAGATACCGAGGCCGCGCGGAGAGATATCGCTGCCCAATATACAACAATATCTCGTTTAGATAAAGGTATCTCTAAAATGTTATCTGAGAAATGCTCAAGTATACGTGCATTACGATCTACAGGTGTCGCGAGATCTTTTTGTATGCTATTTGTAACAGTATCTAAAAAGAGTACAACTTTCAGGCGTTGGCCTTGTTCTTGAAGAATTGGAGAAGGCAGGTTTCAAAAACAACACGTTGGTAATCTATACGTCCGACAATGGTATACCTTTCCCCAACGGTCGTACAAATCTGTACGATTCAGGTACGTCAATTTAGTCACATTTAAGCCTAATCTACAATGTACTCTCCGCGTCTAGAAACATTTTATTTTAGATAAACAATCGAAACGCTTAAAAAACGCTTAAAAAGTTTGCCGACAACGTACGATTGTACGGTGTGTAATATACACTTTATCCACTTGCGCAAATTTGTCGAGCGTATTTATTGGCTGCAAAGTAGAATGTTTCTAGACGCAAAGAGCACGTTGTAGATTAGGCTTTGAACTACTGAGGACGCGAAGAAGCTAGCAAATACTTAAAAGTATTAGTGTCGTAGAAACACAATCGAATATTAAAAAAAAAAAATTCTGAAGGTTTGGCTGAACCCATGATGATATCGTCGCCGATCCGTAACCATAGGAAAAACAGCGTGACGTACAGTATGACGTCTTTACTAGACATAGTACCGACAGTATTAGATTGGTTCAATGTAACTTACACGGACGACGATTCCAATGAGGTGTCTCCGCCGCAACTTACTGGCAAATCACTTTTGCCGCTACTTCTCGAAGGTGCATATATGTATCTCCTCCGTATATAAATGCATGCCTGCCGTCGGAGAGATCACACTGCAAATAATCGATACTCCACTTGTAGAGCCCACAGAAAATAATACGGCGGTCTTCGCTAGTCAAACGCATCATGAAGTTACCATGTATTATCCTATGCGCGCGATTCGAACGAAACGCCACAAACTTATACATAATATCAACTACAGGATGCCATTCCCTATCGATCAGGACTTTTACGTATCTCCGACTTTTCAGGTAATCTGAAACAGAAAAGAATTCGAAAGGCAATGTCAGCTTCTTTTAACTGGAGTTGAGACTACGTTAGAATTAATCATTTGGTATAGACGTGATCGATTTATTGTGTCATATGCAGGATATTCTAAATAGAACAAGGAATCATCAACATCTACCGTGGTACAAAACGTTAAACAAGTATTATCAGAGACCAGAGTGGGAATTATATGATTTAAAATACGACCCGGAAGAATTGAATAATATAGCTTCAAAACCGTCCACAAAGGTAATATAAACTTACAAAAAAAGAAAGATCTCGAGACTAGCCTGGTTCATTCGACATTCTACGTTTGCGTACGTTTCATCACTCGTGACTTTCATCCTTTTGTTCCTTGTTAATGTTATCATACTGCTTTCTTTTCAATAATTTACATTATTGAGCGCTGATGGAGGCATTGCGCTGCCGAAACGTTCGCGATTTTTCTCATTTTATACCCTCAAATATACATTATCGTTCTGTCACCTTCACTCGGCTCGTTCTCTTTATTGGCCGTTTTGCATATTTTTAATTTGTTCCCAGATAGCACGCACGTCTAAAAAAGCGTCTTAACGATATCTTTATGACGTCTTTTAGACATGCATTGCTATCCGGGTTGTTTTTACAGGCGTCTTATTATTTGTTTTTCTAAACTTATCATTACATTAATTACATTTGTTCCTCGACAATAGATATGGCACTTAGAATTTTCTGTTATTGTAAATTTTAGAGCGTATTCGTTGACCTCCAAAAACGATTGTTCGATTGGTTGGAGACAACGCAAGACCCATGGCTGTGTGCGCCAGACGGCGTGCTGGAGAAAATCGGACGAAACAGCAACGCTCATTGTATGCCACTGTACAATTTAGACGACTGAGATTCTTTCCTAATTTTAGCTGCTTTCCTTTTACGCTCAAGTGATACTGAGTCACTCAGTTATGCGAGTACTTTATACTCAGATACAACGCCATTAATGTGAGTTTATTAAACTCACTAAAGCACACGGTCTTGTGCAAAAACTCAGTTAAATCTGGTTGAATCTCACTTCTCAAGAACCAAAAGGAACACGCATTCAATTGAGTTATGACGTCACAGGTGAGATTTATCCGAGTTCTCATGTAAAAGGAAAGCAACTATTGATAGCCGATATTGCCTGTTTTCTCTTTTATAATTTTATACCCAAGTTATGCACTTTCCTAGTAGTAAGTATTTAATATAAACTGTGAAATACTCAGTAATGTAGAATCTTTAGCATTTATACCCAAGCGATGTGCGTTAAGAACAAACGTAATCTAATACTCGGGCTGATACAAGGGAATTGTAAAAACGTGCGACATTCGTGTAAACGTGAAGAGGGAAATTTTTGAAATAAATGACAAATATACAAGCTCGGTCTCTTACAATTCCGTATGTAATTTACCAACCTTGATTAAAATTCCTAAGATATTCACGATGATAGAGTAACTTTGGACGACGAGGTATTCTTCGACTCTCTCTCGCGATACTTGGTGAGCATTTCATTTAACTGATGAACATAAGCCGACGATTTGTTGATGGATTTTACCACTGTCCTCAATTCCGTCGCTATTTCATTCATCTGGAAATGTAGGAAGCGTGTCAAACGCGTCATCGTCATCAAAGTTACATTACAGAATGAGCAAAGATGTGTTAACTGTGTAGCGATTGTTAATATTTATACGTAAATACAAGGGGAATCTCACATATTGCTTATAGTTGAGGTATCGGTTATATTTCTGATTGTTATTATAGATCTGTTTAATTTGAATCATAAATAAAAGACACAGAGCGATGCCGCCCAGCACTACGAGGGAATTCGAATTCTGGAGTCCGCGTAAAACGAGCATCACACTTGTTGAGGTTAGAACACTCGATAGGGTACAAAACGATTGTTACATAATTTCAAATTAGGCACGAGTCAAAACGTTAGTTGTTCAGGCAAAGCGCTCTCTCGTACAGCAGCAACGTGTCACTTGTTCCAATTACCCGCATTTTTTTACTTTTACTTTTACACGCGATGTCCGGAGGACTCGTATGACAACGCACGAGGTATCATCACCGATCATCTGACACTGACTTGTGATGTGATTCGAGAGAGGCAACCTCGAGTTTTATCTTCACTGACGACACGTTATATGCACATGGCTGTCTCCCTAGTACCTTCCTCTCTCTCTCTTTCCGATTGTAATAAAATAGATTTAATTTTTCTGAAGGAAAATATAGTTTTTTTTTATTATAAAGAATTAAAAGGGTCAATACTTTTATGTACTCGGAATTAGTTGCTTGTTCAAATTTAAAACCTGCAGCAGAACATACATCTACAAAGAAGAATAGAAGAACAAATTATATTCTTGTTCTGAAACTACAATACAGCTATGACTAACTGACGGTTGTATAAAAGTAATTGATAAAAGAGAAAAGATAATACGTACGTATTGTCTTTTCTCTTTTATCACAGGGAAATATACAGGGTGTCCTAAAACCACCGGAGGTCCTCTTAATGACAGATTCCTTAGAACATTTCCAGACGAAAATCCTAATACAAAAGTGTCGAGGCTATAATAGTTTTTAAATTAGAAGCGATTATTTTTCACAAATGATAGGGCTGAAATTTCGCGCGCTCAGGAACGGCGAAATGACAAGTGATATAAAAAGAACGATATTCATAGGAGCACTTATATCACTTGTCATTTCGCCGTTCCTGAGCGCGCGAAATTTCAGCCCTATTATTTGTGGAAAATAATCGCTTCTAATTTAAAAACTATTATAGCCTCGACACTTTTGTATTAGGATTTTCGTCTGGAAATGTTCTAAGGAATCTGTCATTAAGAGGACCTCCGGTGGTTTTAGGACACCCTGTATAAGAAACTGATAGATTTCTCGTTCCGAGGCAGGAGTGTACTGCGGTCAAGTTAGAAAGAGAGAAACCGATTTTTTTTAATTAAAATGAAACAATTGAAATTTTGGAATTGAAGTGTAGACGAAGATGCCAACAAAACCGTGATCTGAATCTGTGAACGTACGTGAAACGACAATGCCTACGAGTTATATCTGCTCCGGAAATAGGAAGCATTTAAAATTTAAAACATGGTTGAAATCAGACGAGGGATCGCTGCGAGTTGAAACTGGGACTGAAGGATAAGAATTTGTCTTGTAAATTTAAAATCACGCCGCGAATTTAGTCAGGACTTTAGTCAGGACTTCAGTCGGGACGGGGACTTAAGGCAGGAATTTAAACATGAGGATTTGTCTGAGTTATAATTAGAATTTAACGAGATCGATATTATGATATGATAGTGTCACGTGAACTCTTTGTTCGCAGTGCACGACGGTTGTTATCTTGGTGATCACGTACATACATACATGTATCGTATACAATTCACGACAAGCGTGTGATCGTTACAATACGATCGTCTGCCTCGCTCTCAGAATTAAACTCTTTTCTTTCTCCCTTTTGTTCGTTTGCTCGCGATCAAATAGCCCGAGGTTATTTGCTCGTGACGTAAGGATTAGTGAATGATCAAGCGGTGAGAACGTGGCAGGGGAATTCCGTGAGAACCGCAAGAACAGCGCCGCGTGGTCTTCTTTACGTAAATATTTCAAGACGCGTAGGTACGTAATAATCGTACACACGTTCGTCCAATTGAGTCGTCAAAGACTACAAAACCGTAATGCAGAGAATTTTAGTTAAGGTAGTTGTTTCGCGACAGTAATGCTCAGAAGTTTCTTCCAGACAGGAACCAGCACTCAACTATTACAATGATATATCTTGATGCAATATTGTTCTAAAGAATGCACTTACGATTAATGCACAATATAAAATAGATTCGAAATTTTATAGTTTGAGACGTTGTTGCCACTTGCACTACACTCATATCTACTACCCGAGCAGAAATTTTAGTAGGGTCCTAATAAGAATGCCTTAACGCCTCATCGGGCACTTATCAGGCAGCTCTGATAGGCAGCCCTGATTGTAAATGTATAACGTCGAGAATCAAAATTGCCTGATCAGGTTTTCCTTGTCAAAACCTCATTTACGCCTCACAATTTCTAACGAGGAAGGGGGAGGGGGGGTAGTAGGGCATCAGTAGGTTTCCTATTTTAAAAAATTTAATTTTTTAAACTGATTTTTAAATTATGTGAACGGTACTAGTGCTATATGGTACATTCAGGTTAACGTTTATCAAATCCTACGAGGGAATCAGGCGCACCGGATCAGGCACATGTCAGGAATTCCTTATTAGGGCATTCCCGAGGGGGAAACCGCTGAGGGCATTGTGGTGTACAGATTTGCGGCATTACTGGGCATTACTAGGCATTTTTTGGGCATTAGGCCTTGCTGGGGCATTACAAAGATAAAGTAAGATAAAATAAAACAAAACAAGATATTACAAATAAGATAAAATAGGATAAGATCAAGTAATGCCCACTGGGCATTAGTGGGCATTGTTAGTACAAGATTTTGGTCGGCGGTTTTCCCCTCGGGCATTCCTCACTTTCTCCTTATCAGGCCCTGACCATACATAAAGCATGCCTGATTTCATTTCTACTCGGGTACATAATTCTTCAGGCTAAGTGACTGTCTCTTACTAAATTAAGAGTTTTAGTTCACAAGTTCCCCCCCCCAAAAAAAATTAATCTAGAATCGTTAAACAAATTAAAAGACATATATTTTGATGCAGCAGTTGTTACTGATTTGAAAATGTGGATTTTGAAAGGCAACCATCACTTAAAACTACCTAAGAAACTGAAGAAATACAATCGCATAACATTTATTTTTCCTTTCGTCTAAAGGAACATAAAAATATTTTACGATCATGCGACACATTTGCGAAACACCGAAGGAATAATTTTCTGGGAAGCATTAAAATGTCTGAGAACCGCATATTAAAAGTTACAGCGGAAAATTTATTAGTAAAACCAGTATTCGTCCTGAAGCAAAAAGAAAATGTGTCGACTTAATGAGTTAAGAGTTTTATTATCAACTCAGTGGACAACAGCATTCAATATCAACGTGAGATCAGCCGTCAAATAAGTTTAATGTAAAATACTGAAAATGTAAAATGTCAATTAGAGAATTCTGCCTGATCGTGCCATCGTTTACTTTATTTTGATTGTCAAAGTCGTTCGGTCTACGACATCGAGCGTCGGGTATGCCTGTATTATACGTTCGTGGCTTTCGAAAAAGATTCTAGCATTATTATACGAACTCTGACGTCGTCTAGATAAAACTTCTAGATAAAACGAAATAAAAATGGACAGTGTTCTAGCATTAATAACATTGTTTAACAGGAGAATTTCTTCCATCGCACGTCTTAAAATTGTCGTTACAAAATATAAGCTACGTTTATAGAGGCTTCGATCAATTTTGACTCAATTTGGTGCGTTAATTTTGTATTTTCACGACCACTGTGACTGTATTACAATCAATTAGAAAGTTTATGTTACTAATCGGAAAGATGAGAACTTTGACATTTTCACTAAACATTTTCACTAAAAGTTCTTTCATAAAGATTTCATAAAATTGAAAACACTTTTAAACTCGAGGCTGATAATATTGTTAACAATTATATCGAGCTCGCACGAAATTAATTCAGAAATTTATTCGCGAAGGAGAGAAAACGCTCGCGATAAGACTTATCGCGGTTGAACTCCCGACCAGGCCGGCAATCAGGGGTCACCCCAGGATGGAATACTACGTGCTCACGATCTTCCAGAGTCAGTTCCCGAGGCCAACAATACGAGTAATATTTTAACGAATTTTGAAGCATAAGAGATCTTTTCTCCTCGTCTTCCCTGCGAGGAATTAAATAATTCTAAATCGCACAGGAATTGCAGGGGGAAACCGGACGAATGTGTTGACAGTCGACACTCACCGTGAGGAACACCATTGTTCGACAATCTCTCGGATACTCCGGTGAATCGGGAAATCAACAACGTATCGGTCACTCGTAGGGCTAATATTGCGCGTCTGAGCGACGATCGAGAAGAGGCAGAACTAAAGTCCGAGCGATCACGAAGAGACGCCAGAAGAGAATGCCTCTGACCCCACTCTTTCCCCACTACTGGTTCGTCACGTTTGCGCGGAAAACGTCATGACACACACGTCAAGTGATTCAGGATCGGATTACACGAGGAAAAACCGAGGAAGTCTGACAAAGTTGCATTTAAAACTGAATTGCGCGAGAAATTTAAGAAAAATTCAGCAATAATTGAGACTCGTGATTATAATTTAATATTTTTAATTAAATAGATTCAAGGAAGTTTCGCTTATATAATTTTGTGCGTATGTTAATAATAAAATATATTCACCTGGATGGAGAATTAATTCGACCTAACTGGCCACTTTATTGGCAATTAAAATTCTTATTGCGAAAAATATTTATCCCAGCCAGGAAAATATATCCACTTGATTTACTTAAATTTTAAGCGTGAAAAATGGACGCAAGTATCTAACACAAGGAAATATGAGGAGAGTTTTCCTGATTGTTATTTCAGTCGAGCATTTTCTTCCCATTCCGATCCTGAACGCGTTTGTCTGTATATTCCTCTCACGCATACCGATCATTCTCTTAGTTCAGTTATTTCTAATTCAGTCTCTTGGAAATGCCCGTCGTAATCTGATTTTATTGTCAGAAAAATCCCTGCTATTTTGTAAAAAAGCACCGTAATCGCATTAGCCTGTTATAATATTTTCCAAGGAAAACTTATCTTCGAAGACCCTTATCTCGTTCGTAAACAAGAAATTCTTTAACGAGAAATGTGTTCTGAATCATCAAAATGTTTCGAACTTGAACATTTTCTGGAGCTATGCGCGTCAAATAATTTTTTCATTGACGCGACATTCTCTCATCAATTCTCTCGTCGAGAATTTTTAGCGAATTTCACCCGAAATTCACCTACTCCGAGAGAGATTAGTCAGGTTATCAGAACTTTATCATACTAATTCCATTCTACAATTGAATTGGTGTAATCGGTGCATGTAAAAACCACACAAGTCCAAAAATTTGCTTAAACAAAAAAGTTAATTTCAAAAATTTTGGAACTCATTGTTTATACCCTCACCAATTTAATTCTATAAATTAATAAAATTAATTAAATACTTCGAATTTTTAGCAAAACTAATAACAAGTATTACGGTCCATTTATGAGCAAACCGTAGAATATGATAATGTGCGCTGTACAAAAATTACATGTAAAATTACAATTATTACAGTAGGTGATATATTGGGACCATGTATTAAAGGTGTAAATTTACATACGTCAGTAAATTTACTCCTTGTAGGTAAAATTATTACCTTATATGTATAACAAGTAAACTGTTTGCTCTTAATTGTGTAAATGTTACAATTTTGTGTAATTTGTCATCATGTATAAACAAGCATTTACTCAACAAAGAGTAAAATTTTTTTTTAAAGAACATACATTTATATATTTCTGTTATTAATAATGTAATCGCTACACTTATTATGTATGCAATTTTACATACTTTTTTACAGTGTGTCAAACACTAATGTATTTATTCTATTGTTTTATTCAATAAGTATTTTTTGTCATATTCCAAGATATTGGTTCTTGCTCATAAACTGGCCGTAACACCTATTATCTATACATCAAATAATTCCAGTAAATTCAACAAATCTTTATTCGCACATATTTCTTTACCTACAGGACTCTTGGATGGGTCAAGACTGCAAGCAAGTCAATTGGCCTGATGAACGATTAAGTGTTTAACGCTGCCGGTACCTCAACTTCAACTATATTAGATCGTGATGTCAGAAGCGAAGAATCGTGTAAATATTTTTTTGTCTTATAAAACAAGAAGCTTTGCACGCGTCAAGCTGAATTATAATAGTTTCCTCGCATGTTTGATGACAATATTTACCGAAAGTTCTCTTTACAGTTGTTCTCCAGCACAATTCCGCCTACGCCTGTCGGCGTTAAAACGCGGCCACGTTAAGACGACAAATTGAAGGAAATTTACAATTATTTATGAATTCATGTACTGAAAGGAAGAAGTAAATGGTACACCGCGTACAACGATGTCACGTTCTAATTGCAGCACGTTGGCTAATTGCGAAATAAACGTGTTCTTTGAAATAATACCACTCGCTCCCATTAAAGATCGTTAACATGGAGTTAATAATCCTAATCCAATACCCGCCGAGCTTGTGTGCCACATTATCGTCAACAGCAAACAAGACGTTTAATCTTTCCAGCAAACTGCGATTTCTTTAGAAAGAAACTGTTGGTTATTTTTAAAATATTGAAAATAATAAATAACCTCTTTAATGTGTGAAGTAAAAACGGATCAAATTATATTTTCAGAAAAATTCGTTATTGAGAGAAAGAACGTTGCTTCAATTTGCTCTGAGTAAATTAAATCTTAAATTTTTTTATAAAAAAGCGTACGTTTCTCTGCTGAGTAAAATTTTGAATGTTATATTATAACTGTTTAAATTAAATATTACACTACACTAACAATAAGTTATGAGGGCCACAATCTTTTCCGTAAGCCTAATCTTACCTGAAGGTAAATCATCATGATACTGGGGCAGCGGTTTATTACGGAGATTTTTGTTGATAAGAACGTCTTGGTAACAGTGTCTTGTAACAAAACGTATCTGCGAGTGCATTTTTGCGCATCGCCGTCGATGGCTTTATATGTAGTAGCAAAGGCACTCGCATGTGCATTCTCGTTTACAGACGTGTTTACACATTTGTACGCACTTTCGGCACGGATCTGGGAAAATCCCAGTCGAATCAGCATAACATTCATCCGTAATGGACCGCAATTCCTGATATTATTGGAAAGAGAGGATAGAAAAGAGACGTTCGTTTGCGCAAATTGTATAACAATGTAAATGCGAACTGCGGCGAAGAGCTCTGGAAAACCCGGGGAAGATGTTTAATGCGACAACTTGTTACGTCTTTGACAATTCTAATAATGACAAAAACTTAATTAACACATAAAACAAAATAATTTATTTAAAAAACCCTTAATTCACAAAATATATTAAATACATTAAAAACAATTAATATAATTTTTAAAAACCTTATTCACTAATAAGAACATATTGCTGAATAAACTTCTTTTTTATTCTAATTCGGAATTAGATATTGACACAAAAATTTTATTTGACCTAGTCGGGAAGAATTTAATTTAATTTATAAATTCATAAATTTATGGTGAAGATTTAATTAGTAACAAGATTATTCTCGTTGTTTGATCAAGAAATCCAAATGTTTAAACTCCACCATTAATTTATTAAACTAGTTTAATTAAATTAAAAATTTTTTAATTTAATTAAATATTAAACTAATTTAATTAAATAATTAAAAAATATATTTATTTTATTTAATTACGAAATCTTATTTGATATGAAGTTTGTTAAAAATAGATTTCAATTAAAGCAAATTGATATCGTTTTTTTGGATAACTAATCAAAATATCATTAATTTGATAAGATAAGCAGTTCTGATCTTTAACAACGTCTATCTATTTTACAATAATTGAAAATGACTTAAAGGCATAATCACAATTGAAGATTCGCATTTGGGAGGTTTTTATTTAACAAAGTAACATTCTAACAATAGAAACGGTAATTTTTTAAAATAGAGATGTTTCGTAAGTACATTAGTATTGTTTATTGCTGTAAGAAATGTATCTAAATGCAATCAGATCTTATTAACACCTTACTGACCACTTGTGAATCAAGTCGATACTGCTTATCAGCTCGTGCAAATACGTATATAGTAATACGTGATGTGATCAAAAAGAATCGAGACTGGTTGTATAACTTAGCTAATTTTGATTCGCCTCCGCGCTTAAATCTTGTCTAAAATTTCTGCTCTTTATAGCAGAAAGGCCAGCTTTTAATCGTTGGTCAGTACCTTTTGAGCATCCCTAGGACATGCACCGGGCCTACGTCGTATTTCCTTCCACGCGAAAAATGTTGGAAGAGAGAAAACACCATACAAGTTTGTGTGAAACTTTGAGTGGTTTACAAGATTCCAAGAAGGTCGAACCACCGTACAAGTCTTGATCTTTTTGTTCGCAACACGTATATTGCTAGTCCTGCTAGAACTTAGAATTTGTATGTCACTTAGCAAAGTAAATTATTCGTAAAGCTGTACAACTTTGAATAAAAATTGGAAAAAGTATTCACTACAATATCCTGATTAGTTTTGGTGTAGCAGATTTAAATCGAACTATAATCACAATTTTATTAGAACTATTTTTCGAGTAACATATTGTATTTCTTTAAAGTGTAGTTGAGCTCATAACAGTGTCCCTTTTGCAATAAAAACTTGTAAAATTTACAAATAAAACATTCCATTCGTTATATAATAAATATATAATAACCGTTGGTAACAAAAAGCCGGTTAATAGGCATTCGGGCAGTAAAGTGTTAATGTAAGTAATTTTTATTATTCATGTCTTCATCACGAAACAATAATACTAGATTGATGCATTAAATCTCGTTCTTCTCAAATAAAACTGAAACTAGGCAGTCTTGATGTACTAGAGTAATAATTGGTTTCATTGCACTTCTTCCTTCTAAAACAAAACTTCTTCCAAAATGTTTCTTTTGAAAAGAAGAATTTAAAAACAACTTGTATCTTAACAACAAAAAAATTGAAGAAGACTGTAGTATTCTTGACACTCAACGGTACAAAGTATTTCGGTTTTACTGTTCTATGAAAATACTAACAAGTAAGAATCTAACAATAAAATACTGTGAATGCATATATTGTGTGCACCACAATCAATCCCTGCATACAAAAATTCTTAGGAACAATGACACACTGCAAAAGTAACATGTAACATATCGATAACAAAATTATATTATAACAACGATAATCGCGGCGTGGACCGATTCAAAAACTGTATACATAATTCGAGCTAAAAGTGAAATAACAGCTAAAATGGATCTATTTCAACTGTCGCGCTTGGACTTGGACGACTCAACGTTACTGACATCATTCACGGATGATGATTTATCATTACTGCTGATCCGTACGTGGAGGCCTGCGCCACTTCGATAATGTTGCACTACATTAATAATGCCCATTACAATGTATAACACGGCCAGAACCAGAAAGTAGCTGCCGTAGACGAAAAACTGAAACGGAAATCACATCCAGCATTACTTGAGAGATACCCAACACCCAGCCTCGAAGCATTTGTCGCGTATCATCTTACCTGCTGCCTGATATTTAGCATGAGTGTGTTGACGACCACGAACGTCAGCAAACTCTGCGTTAACAGGGCAAAGAATGTGTTCACGCCGAACACAAGGGCGTAGCTATCCTCGGAAATACATTTGGCAACTTCGAAGCTACGAACAAGCAAAACGCCGTTTCACTCCTTTCGTTCCCCATGCGTTCTTATTATAATTGCAATTCGAGTTAAAAATCTATCTCAATTTCTAGCAGAAGTATTTTCTGATCGAATCGCGTTGTTAACTGCGAGTTCACCTTGCAACAGTGACCATGGTGTGATATATCACGCCAAAAATAACGTAACCGAGATACAGAAGCCAAATGTTGTAGCTATAAGAACATCCCACTAGTATACCGCCTTCTAGCAGCGAGAAAACGGACAACGTCACGTCTCCTAGTAGGGTCCAATTTAGCTGTACCTTTCCTATACAAAACACGACCACTGCACCTGGTGAACATAAAAAAAAATGTAAAAAAAATCACATTTATACAATTTTGCTTAACTGGCTAACTCTTCCACAATCGCATTTGCCAATCGAGTCTTTCAACTCATCGATCAGCTCATATTATTCAACTTATATTATTGACGAGTAGCAATTTAGTTAATTGATTATTTATCTGCGTTTATTTAAGCTCTAGTGAATTCATGCATTGTTTAACGTATCTTGCGAAATCTTACGATCAATATCGACTTTAATTGATAAGTAATTCTGCTTGGATTTAAATTAAATGGCATTTGTTAATTAACATATAAATGCTCTTCCAAAGGTGTTTTAAAATATAATATTTTAAACATTAGACTATTGTCAAAAACATTATATTTAAAAGGAGAAGAACTATCATACATATATGTATATGTACATACATGCATATAGTCAAAAGTATATTTAATAAAGTATTATTATATAATATTTAATAAAGTATTAAATATACTTTAGCAAAATTATAGCATTTTTCTCTAAATCTGTAATACAGATAAATATAATCAATTCACAAAGACTGTTTATTGCTTTGATGTATGACATTATCAGTCATTTCTATTAAGCTTATCGATCAGTATCTACTTATTTTAGATTAAAGAGACGAAAGTACTTGTTCTCAGTAGATTGCATTAACGAGGTGGCATTATCACAAGATACGAGGTACAGATATAACTAATTGTTCAGAGTTAATCCATTGTTCTGACTGCCCACTTTGATTTTACAAAATTGGATTTGCAAAAGGTGGATTACAAAATTGGAAAGATATGCATTTCACAGATCCAGAAACAGCTGGGTCCCTCTTTCTTACCCACGATTGCATAGACAAAGTCCACGGCGCCGTTGTAAATTTTGTCGTCCGACTTCACCGCGGTCTGCCACAACAACTGCATGTAGTTGATAACTTGTAAATAGCCGCAGGTGGCTAGCGCCCACCAAATCGACCACTTGACCACGCGGTAGTTAGTATAGGCTTGCACAAAGTGTTTCCACAGCAGCGCATATGCGTTTCTGATTTTGCGAAACAACGGCGCACTTGACACTGTAAAGCAGTAACACTTTGCTTTCCTGTTCCCAACATTGAGCGATGATTCTGGCGAAGTCTTTGAATGTTGCGACTGATGCGACTCGGACCCTCCTTTCCCTTGCTCCACGCTTGAAATACTGGTGCGATGGAAGTACATGGACTGTTTCACAGAAGGCAGAAAGAACGACCATACTGTCGCAACAACGCAGGCTGCAGAACAAATCGTGCAACATTATGTTACAGTTTGAACGTGCACTTAATTTGTATACCAGAAGTTACCTCACTATGCGTACCTGAAAGAGTTATAAAATTGAGTTGATGATAACTCAGCAAGTCGAAGGAGGCGGTTAATTGCGCTACGACGCCAGACATGCTACGACCGAACAGCGTAGCTGCTTTCGTGTGACCAGTCACCTCTTGATAGTGCTTTTTGTCCACTTTGGCATATATGTAAGTATAGTAGGCCACTTCTGTGGAGAAAAACAGGCCGTAAAAAAATTCCACAATCTGGAATACTATCACAGACTTTCCGAGTATTATCATGATGAACGTGACGATGCCGGAGAGACCACATAATACAATGATAGGTTTATATCTGACGAAGTCTGTGATCAAGAAGACAAGTATTAACGTTGCTAAGTAGCTGTAGGTAGCCACAGGATATATCTGTTGATTCACCTGAAAGATTGAACATTTTGTTAACATTAATTATCACTTAATTATCGAATGGACATAAAATCACTCAGTGTTTTAAGAACCAACTTCGTCAGTCGTAAAATTTTTCCATGGCCCGGTCAAGTAATCGGTCACAAATGATTCAGAGGGTCGGAAGTCCTTAAAGCATCCAAACATGCACAAGATAAACGAGATTTTGATCCAATTCATTTTGTCAATGCTCGCGCTGTTCAACAAAGTACCTCAACAGGATTAAGAAATTCTCAATGCATCTCTACAAGAAGAGAGAAAAAAAAATATATATATATACATTTTACAGGGATATATATAATTAGTATTGTGTCTAATGAAATATTTATATAATACAATAAAATTAAGTATTTTTCGCAATAGAATTATTCAGACACTAACGTTCTGTCACGGTTCTTCGTCCTTTGTCCCTTTAAATTTGTGTTTATCACATGTGAGCCTTATGAATTTTATTAATTTAATAAAATAACATACGTTCAGTTTTATTTAATACTATTTTGAATTAATTCTTTTCTACACTACCTAATATCTGTTCAGTTATTAAAATCTATTGAAGGTAAGCGTTTTAAATATTTTCTTATGCAATATTATATTCCACTTTACTCCAAAAAATTCTTGTACATACACTCTCCAATGTCTGCTGTCTGCTACTGCCTTTACCTACCACTGTATATACAGTAGCGACACTATCGCACCTTTGATGTAACGTACGAAATTCAACTGCACATGCGCTAACTAAGCAGCTGACCAATCACATGCCCGTTATCTCGAACTGAACTTCTAGCACCGTTCATTCTCCCTCCTTCTATCTTCAACGTGAAAAGAAAAAGAGAAAAGACAAACGGTGCAAGAAATTTAAAAAAACAGAACATGTATCATATAATATTTTATTTTACTTTCTCTTCCTTTCATAATTTTTTCTCTTTTTCGAACTTATTACAGGTATTTCATTTATACTAGATATTACATTTAACATATACACTGAATTAAAAAGACGTAAATAATTGAATAATAAACTTTATAGAAAATTAAAATATAAAACTCACAGAATAATATTAAAACAATATGCTTACAATTATATGTAGATTGACTAATAAAAAAACTAAAACAAGCAAAACAGCATCGTGTGCCGATGGCTTAATACTACAAGTAATATTACAACATGATCAAACTTATGATTCGTCAAATAGAAAAATATAAAACTTCGTATGTAGGTGCGTATATAACATACAGACGACCTCCTCAGTTGTTGTCACGTTACATGGAACGTATTTATTAGGGTAGCAAACAGTTAAAGTTTCAGTTGTTGGTGATCTCCTGTGGTAATAAAATCGCGATTGCCTATTTTTCGTTTAGAAAACTTGTGAGATGAGATATACTAACCATAATTGAGACATGAGTGTTACACCTAATCCCCGCATACTTTTATATAAGGTGAGTCACTAGAAATAGATTGCACCTGTCTTGCTTTAAAAATGTGTCTCGGTGTTTCACGTACAATTTCAAGGAACGACAAAATGATTCTAGCTATATTCTATTAATATACCTTCTTAAAGTTGTAAAGATCAGTCCTTTTTCAAATTAAATATATATTACCACTGCTTCTACTTTTGTTACATTGTTAACTGATACAAAAAGATTTTTTAATTCATTTTATCATCAAAAATACTCAAGGATTAAATCGACCAAGGCTGGCATTTATTTTAGTTTACATTTTACCACGACGTTTCGGCCAGTAATACTGGTCCTTTTCAAGTGGATCCTATTGCTTGTGACAACGAAGCATCTACAAATCAATATCTTAGTCAAAATATAAAACGGTACTAAATTGTAAAATATAAAACTATAAAATATAATAAAATATAAAGCGGTAATAAATTCGGACATGAGTTTGACTGGTTGAATCCTTTAATTTTACACAAAGAACGACATTATATGTAGACGTAGGGAAATCGCAGAGATGTTTTTTATAAAAAAATTTAATAATACTATTAACCTCCAGAAAGACACTGAAAATCTCAACACGATATATGACAAAATCGTTCGAATCACCTAGTTATTTATAACTTCATATATATTCTTATTTATTTGTTTCGTCGTCCCCCTCCTATATGTCAAGACGAGATGATCTTAGCAATATCCCTTTTGTTCTGTTCCAACTAGTCTCTAGGTGACATGACACGTGAGAAGATGTACATTTCTATGTGCGATGACGATTAGCCTAATCCTATATTTTCCTGTAAGTTCTTCTTTTATAATTTATTATTGTTTTATATTATGACTATGAGATTTATTCGTAGTTCCTTTTATAATTTATTACCGCTTTATATTTTTTATATTTTATATTTTATAGTTTTATATTTTACAATTTAGTACCGTTTTATATTTTGACTAAGATATTGATTTGTAGATGCTTCGTTGTCACAAGCAATAGGATCCACTTGAAAAGGACCAGTATTACTGGCCGAAACGTCGTGGTAAAATGTAAACTAAAATAAATGCCAGCCTTGGTCGATTTAATCCTTGAGTATTTTTGGTTTTAATTACTGGCGATACAACAATTTCTAAATTTGGTCATTTTATCATAATCATATTTTGCTCTGTGTGTATGTGTGTGTCGTTGTACAGTTAATAATCATATTAGTAATGTAAAGCCACAGTCTATAAAATACTACTTATACCAAAAATTATTGAGTTTATTATTATCTAAGACGTATCATTAAAATATGATGGTTGCCAGATGGTTGATAGGTACATATTCTCAGAACTTTGGACTCCGACAATTTTTTCCATGTTGGGATGCACCGATTTACGAGATGCCTTTTAATATTTCTATAAAACATCTTAATAAACACACGGTTTTGTCGAATACGTATATATGGAAAGTAATCACGCGGACAAAATCAGGGTGAGATTAATCAGGATACTCAGTTCAAACTTTAGCACAGGTGACAGAAAGGTTAAAAAAATTGTTGAATAAATACAAAAATTCGAGTATATTTGTAAAAATATAACAAATATTTTAAATTTTTTAATATGTAACAAATTTCTTTTGGTTCAAAACACAGACTATCATAATATATATAATTTATATTTATATGAATATAAAAAATAAACATTCATTTTAGTACTAAAATCAAACTTTCATTGCTTTCTTGCCAATTAAAAAATTTATTTATGTTAAGAAATTTTCTTTAATTCGGAACAAATCAGGGCAAAGTAAGTGAATTCGGAACACGTAGGCATTCCGAATGATCTGTCAAAACATTCGAGACAAAGCATAAAAGGAACAGATGGTTACCTTAGTAAAGTGTTGTTATAATTCTAGCAAAACTTTAACAACGTATTTCATGGAAACTCCTCCAATTCCCCCTTATCACGTCGTAATTGTGGTTCTATCCTATTTGTACTTTGAACCTATCGAAAGATTCGACTTTTGGTACAAACAATTGTGGGGGATTCTTTTCGGATGGCCAAATAAATTGTGTAAACCTTCGCTCGGTGAAATATATTTAATAACTCGTCAGGGCAGTCGGTCGGGACTTCTGCTCTCGGTTACAATCTTAGGCGCGAGGGAAGACGACTCTGCCCTTTGCCCTGATCCAGCTCTTTATATCCTTTTCCTTGATTCTCCTACTCCTCGATAAGGAGCCAATCCTAATCGCTTACAAATGGGGGAGAGTGGTGAGCGCACTGACTCACCCCGACCTTTAGCATTCTCGAAAAGATAATGATCGTTCGGTCTAAACACGTTCGGCCAAAAGCCGAAAGACAAATACAACCGGTAAACATTATCCCGGGCAAACATTGCCCGGGGTCGGCTTGGAATTAGTAACGCACGACAATGACTATCTCCTAACGGAATTATATAAAAACGCCTACACAATATAATACAGCATCGTACTTGAGATACGCAGAGATGGTTGTT